TGGCAACAACACCAACAGAAACAGCAACAACAGTACCAGAAGTAGTAGCAACGGAGAGAGGCCCCTGATGGTTATTGGACGAAGGTGAAGTGACGAAGGAATGCAAGCGCAAGTTCTCTCAATAAAAGGATGTCCCTTCACCCCCCAAAACAGCGACAACCCCAGGAGCGGCCAAAAGAGGGGCAGGAACAGTGAAATATTGGAAAGCTTGAAAAGCAGCGACGAAAGCAGAAGGAGGAACAAAAAGTAAAACAGCCGACAAAACAGCAACAACAACAAGAAAAGGACAAGCAGCAACAACAAACCGACGCAGAGACGGAGGTTGAGCAAATGACATCATCCGTGTTTCATCATTAAAGAGGAACAGGGAGGATGAAGAGGAGGTCGTACTGAGTCAACAATACGTCCGGCGAAGTAAGGGTGGATGGGTACATGGACAAAACCATGTCACTATCCGTCATTGCATCACCTGAAGAAGCAGTGACAGTCCCAAAATCAAGGAGCCTCCCTTCCTCCCTTTCCCGTGCTCCGTTACCCCTCCTTCCACCTCCCCACCCGGCCAAAGAAAAGGAAAAATGAAAATGTATTTTTCTGGTCTTGATATGATTTGCAAGGTTGATCGGCGGGTGCTAGAGAAATGTTTGTCTGCTCAAAATAAGCCCGACTAGGGCCGCTATTCAAGTTGACCTCCGTCGATGGCAAATTGGTGGAGGAACCCCGTAATTTTCCTCAGGCCCCTGGGATCATAACTTTCATTGGAGACACGGGGGCTACTTGAAAGCCTGGTACCAACTTTACGAGTGCAGAGACGTATTCCCGAATAACGGAGATGGGTATACCCAATCTCAAAAAGCTTTCTAAATTCTGCAGGAGGGGCCCCTGTATTATTCCAACCCTCGGTGTCCTGGACCCCAAGATAGACAGGAAATGGGGAGCTAGCGGGGAAGGCATCGGGCAATCGTAGCTTGGTGAATCTGATCGGCGAGTTTGGGCTCGTCGATAGATACCGGGTTGATCATCCGGGGCGGGAGATGTGGATGTGGGGACATAATTGGGTTGTCTCTCCAGGTATCCAACTACCTGGATATAATGTTAGTGAGACAGGTCGACCTAGATTTACTACATTGTTCCACGTTTCACCGTTTAGACTATTCGGATCATAGAGTGTCGGATGGTGTAGGTTAGGCCTGGAATGGGTGGACACTGAAGTTCAATCTGTCCATGGACAGGCGGGCTTCCAATTAATTGGATTAGTGAAGGCGGGAACTAGTGGGGGCGATTATTGGGAATAATGGCGGGAGAGGCTTAAGGATAAGATTAGGTCTTTCACCACTGAATATAGCCAACGACTCGCCCTAGATAGGACTAAAAAGGTGAATGCTCTAGAGGATAGTCTGTCCCGGGCGGTGGTTGAGTGAGATTCACTAGTGATAGCCGTAGCTAGGCAGGCCCTGAAGCGTGAGGCTAGCATGCGCTATCAGAGTCAGGTATTTAGACATAGGTTAAACAAGATGTCTAATGAAGCTCTGAACAAGGGCGCAGAACTGCACAAGGAAGAAATCCATCGAGGATCCGATCGTTACATTTGTGAAGTCGTTAACCCGGAGTGGCGTTCTCTGGGGTCGACCAAGGACATTTACGAAGGGTTTCGGTGGCATTTCGAGATCCGTTTTACAAAGTGGTCTTGTCTTTAGTGGCGATCGCAGCTTTTGCAGCTATTTCTGGCTTGACTCGGGCTTAAGCCAGATGGCGAAGTTCACTTGGCTTGATGTAAGGCTGTCGCACATCTTTGTCCCTATTTTGACAGTGGTGTTCAACAGCTAGTTCCGGTAGAGGTCCATCTCCGACCGGATTTTCAAAGATGTGATCGGAAAAGATCAAGGGTGTCGGAGGGATTTAGACGATTACAGGCCCATAACTCTGCCAAACACAGAGTAAAAGATTTGGGCCAAGATCCTGACAGAGCGTTTAGAGTCAGTTGTCGCGAACTTGTTGGGATCCGAGCAGACTTGTGCAGTGAGGGGAAGAACAATTCAAAGCAACCGGCATCTGATCAGCACGATCATAGAGGAAGTAGAAGACGACGATAAGGCCGCGCTGATTTGGATCAGTCCAAGGCATTTGACAGGATAGACCATCGGTACATAGCTGCTGGCCTGCAGGCCGCTGGATTCGAACCCGACTTCTGCAAGTGGATCAGCCTCCTATATCGCTCCCCCAGTGCTGTGGTACAGGTGAACGGAAAGCGGTCGAGCGCTTTTGCGCTGATTCGGTTGGCCCGACAGGGGTGTCCACTGTCGCCCTCACTTTATGCTTTGGCGTTGGCGCTCATCCTTTGCCAGCTTAGGGACAGGGCGTGCAGTCCGGCCCTACGCGGAATCGCAGTTTTCCCTGGTAGAGCTCGAGCTAGGGTTTCTGCGTACGCCGATGACATGTCCATCTTTGTGTCGTGCCACAGCGACATTGAGGTGGTGCAGAAGGCGCTTGAACTGTGACAGAAGCCAAGATTACCCACAACAAGTCTCCCGGATTCCGGATAGGTGTCTGGAAGGGGGTCGCGCTTCCGAGGCCCTTCGGCCGGACTGATGGACTCCTCCGCATTCTTGGAGTGTGGTTCGGACCGGGATTCCAGCTGGAGAAGGATTGGTCAGAAGTACAGGCAAAGGTCGGAGGGTCTGTCCTGACTTGGCTTTGAAGGAGGTTGTCCTTAAAGGGTGGAGATGAGGCGTGTGCCACTTACTTCTTGCCCGTCATCCTTTACCGCTTGGCTGAACTTCCTCTTTACTGGACCCGTATGGAGGCGATTGAGAGTTTGCTGACCAAACGTTTGTGGGGTGGTCGCAAACATTGTGTAAAGAAGCCTGTTATCAGCGTCCGTGTCATAAGGGGCTGGGATTGCCACACCTATTGAGTCATTGCCATGCCTCATGGTTGGCTTTCCTACGACGCGCTTTGACGGAGGGCTCGATTTTGACGCGGAGTGTTAGGGACGCCTTCCCTAGCCTTACCATCACTCCGTTGTGGAGTTTCCTCAACGAGTGTGGGCCGGCCTTGAGGGTCATTCCTCGGTCCAGTGACCTTTCTCAGCCACGGAGACTATTGTATCATGAATTAGTGGAGGGGGTCGCGAAAGATCCTCTGTATGCGCTCTTTTTGGTCTTGGGCACCAGCGGCGAATAGCTGGTGATTGATTCGGAATGTGCTACCTCTCAATGACGTAACCTTCAGATGGGATGAGAAAGATTTGCCAGACTGTTAGAGGAAACGGCTTCGCACGCATTCTACCACTGTCTTCAGGTGCGCCCTATCTGGGATTATGTCGTCGAGTTGACGGCTCGTATCGCTCCCGATCAGCTCGTGCCCATCGATCTCGCATACGCGTGTGACAATGTTTGCTCCTGTTTTCCGGCGGAAAATGGATGATGTTTTTCACGTTGCTAGCCGTGGCAAGAATGGTGGTTTGGACGTCGCGAAGGAAACTATTTTGCGGGACGAACCTTATTTTCATCACAATCTTTAAGCATCTGTTTAGGGATCAGATCTGATCAAAAGCATTTGATCGTGACAGATTTCAGCGAAAGGTGGGTGATTGAGGCGAGTCTGGTTTATGTGCTCAGGGCTAGCCTTGATTTTCTCTTTTAAGTCCCCTTAATGTAAAGTTTCTGTTTCCTGTGACCCCCCACCCCGGGGTTAATTTAGACGCCGTTTTGTTTTTCTAGTTAATGTGAGTAAATGTTGTTCCCTGACGGCATTTTCTTCTATCGAGATTTTCCATATTGAGATTCCAAATTTCCTCATTTTGTTTTGTCCCCTGTTTTTTTTTTTTTATCTCGGCTCGGTCAGCCTTTGATTTTCCCATTCCATCAATTATCCCCCACTTCCATTAATGAGTTTGCTTTTTGATTCTGTCTATCGGCAGAATACAGCGGCCATTCTTATTATTTTGAGTGGTGGGTGGGTCCTAGTAACATTATTATCTTTTTAATTTTATTTGTGTTACATTTTTAGTTTGTTTTGGGGTTCATCCTTACCCACCACTAATTTCATGTATCATTAAATTTTGATATATTTTTGAATTTTATGGACATCAGAATTATTATTTCATGCGGTGTTTTGCGAATATGTGGTATTTTGGCGTATGTAGTATTGAGATTTGATGGATGGGTTCTTTCGTTGAAGAAGTGAATTGTAATGAATGAATGGCTCATGATTTGATTAACTAGGGCTAGGATAGCTAGTGATGACCACCCTCCCCTTCCCCTTTTCGGTCATGTGCCAAAATTTCTGTTTCTTCAGAAATAAATATACGATATTAGTCAGTCAGACTTAACTTCTATTACAGTTGAGTACTGTCTGTTGCTATTACCAAATTATACAGAATTTGCAAGAGTTGTATTGGGCATCTTCACTGTCAGCCAAAATTGACATGGAACTGGAATGTTCATTAGCAATCTTTATGTCGAGACTATCATCAGCAGTGCAGAAAGATACCTGGCATTTGCTAGAGAAAGCAGAGACACATTTTTGTGATGAAGAAATTAAATAAAGAATTTTTTTATTGTTCAATAAGAACAATACAATATTGTGTGATATTAGCATTCCATCTTCCAGACCATTCGCCCTAAATTGTTGGCCCAAGTCTATCTTCAACCATGCATATATTCATTGGCGTACACTGGAATAAAGTTGATCAATTTCAGATAATTTTGGTCAAAAGTTACAAAAACTGAAATAGATTTGGGCCCAGTATGTATTATATCAACGGTCCAACGGTTATTGATTTAATAGAAATAAACTGTTTCTTGAAATTGTAGGTTCTTTTCTCAAATAAACTCCATCTTTATTGAGACTGTCTGCTTAGAGAAGTCAGTTTATGTGCGAATAAAGAAAGAGAAAATGTAGATTGCTTTTGTTTTTCAAAAGATAAAATTTCTCACTTGAAAAAAATTATTTTCATGAATCTCTTCCTAATTGTTGTTTCCTTTTTGTACAATTTACAGTTGTAGGTTCGAATCCAGGAATCGATTCTTCAACAGATAAAATGGCACCAAACAATAAAACCTATATACTTTCTGACAAATGTAAGTAAAATACTTCATAGTGTTTCTTCTTTTTTGGTATTGTTTTAAATTTCATCAGCAAATTGTTCTTAATTGAACAATTTGCTGATTTGAAAATTGCCTGAAATTTAGTTGTTCTTCTGCAAAGAAGATTTAAAATCATTTTTGTATAAATGAGAATAGCTTTTGAATGACGACACACATACACACACAAAGATATACACACATTATCTCTCTTTCTCTCACACACACACATATCTATATATACATTTGTTTTGCTGATAAGAAGCATTTCTTTTTTCTTCTGTTTTTATTACTTTTTTATGATTAAGTGCATGAAGAAATTGTTTATTGTAGTTATAGCTTCAACCATAAAACAATTATAAAACAGTTTTATGCAGAGTGTGTAATATGTCAAAACTACTGAGACAAGATTTTGAGCTGCCATATCTTTTCAAAATGTAAGCCCTTTCTTAACGGATTCAAATTAAATTATAAAAAAAACAAGAAAAGTAAAGTGTTGTGGATTTCATTGCAATGTTTAACCTCCAATATGACAGTGAAATTACAGAAAACCATGAAGTTCTTCTACTGATACAAATTGAGAATAACACGGACAGAACATACGACAAATGAGGAAGTTTTCAGTTATTCCTTTCTCATGTTGACAAAATAAACATGGCAGCTGCTCTTGAAAAGGACTTCCAATCAGTGGTGAACTGGGGTAAGAAATGGCTTGTAAATTTGAATATATCCCAAACAAAACTCCTTTTATTTAACCAACACAGAGAACTTTTTCTGTCTGCCAAGAATGTGTGGTGTGTTGCTCTCCTGGAGTCTACCAGTAGAGCAACACATTATGCCTTCTTAGGCTCAGGTTTTCCATTGACATGAAATGGAGTGACTATATTGAATCAATAGCTGCATCCACTGCAAGGAAAGTTGGGCCACTGTGTCGTGACAGAACATTTTTCTCATCTGAATCCATTATTCACATTTACAAATCTACCATTCACCTGTGCATTGAATATTGCTGCTGCCATCTCTGATTTGTTGTTCCTGTAAATTCCAAGATTCTTGACAAAATCCAAAAAAGGATTTGTAATGTGACATGGATTTCCTTTCTTTTCTACAAATATTTTGATGGCAACTCTTCTGACAAGGGTTTTCCCTTGTGCCCTGAATACATGAATTTAAGCATGCCAATAGCTTAGCATGTACATCGCACATGTTTACTGTTGAAATAGCTAAATGCAACCACCACTTCTACTCCAACAGTTTCTTTTCTCATACTTCCAACCTGTGGAACTCCCTTCCGTTTACCTGCTTCCCTGATAAATACAATCTTCAAAAATTTAAATGCAATGTCAATCGCTATCTTGTATCTTCTTGAATCCCATTCATCTTTTGTCCTTTCCTTAATCCTCCCTATTCTCGGTATTCTCTTTCACTTTCACCCCCTGTAACCCTCTGTATACTAGTGGCTTTATTGTCTTGATTCGGGTGAAATGATTAAATCAAAAAAAAAAAAAAAAAACAAAAAAAACCTGAAATTATCAATAACAATCAGAAAATGAAAATGGAATTCTGGAGACACATAAAGTGGAAAGAAAGCTTGGAGAATTTAACACCCACAGGGCACTTTAGAGACAAGAGAAACCAAGAAAAGCAAACAATTTGACAATTTTCAACAAATTTATAAATAAAGGAGAAAGTATGGCTGAGAGGACGCTGTGGAGAGCTGTGATTGATTACATTCTAAAGAGACGTACCCCAAAGAGAGAAAGAGAATAGATAATAATAATTGATTTAATATACATATTTATTATCTAGCCTCATATCCCAAGTACAGATACCACACCCAAAATTTTTCACAGAAGATATTGGTTTCAATTGTAGAAAAATAAGATCACTTTTGTCTCATCATAAAAATTAAATATTATTATTTTTTTTACCTTCAGCTGAAAGTTTTATTAAAACAATCAACGGACCAACTCGTATTAGATGTGAGCAGAATTCTTTTATTCATTCTAACCATTCCACTTACTTTGACTGTAATGGAAAAAACTCATGTTATTTGGAGAAAACTGAAAAAAACAATTTTTTTTATGTTTGTCTTAAAGGTAAGAGTTAAAAGTTTTGCAACTTTGTGAAAAAAATTGTCAATTTCTGTTTATTCTTTGAGAACAGGATTTTCTGTTTTCTATATCTATCTATCTATCTATCATTTATATATATATATATATATATATATATATATATATCTATCTATCTATCTATCTATATATTTCTAATATGATTCCTATCTATCCATCTATCTCAAGTGTGTCCTCTCTCTCTCTTTTATCTTTTATATATATATATATATATATATATATATATATATATATATATATATATATATATATATATATATCAGTCTGTTCCTATCCTATCCATCTATCTCAACTGTCCGCTCTTTCACTCTCTCTCTCTCTATCCCAGTCTGTTCCTATCTATCTATCTATCTATCTATCTATCTATCTATCTATCTCAGTCTTTCAACTCGGCCTCTCTATCTTTCTATGTAAGAGATTTATCCTTACAAAATCTTGAACATTTTCATTCACTCTTCTATTCCCCCTTTCTAGATGATTGCCAACAATTGAATATCTCTCATGAAAAGACATTCATAGAAATCAGGATATGTTTTATTGACAGACAATTATTTACTGTTATGATAAAATCATTCTATACTGATTCCCATCTTGAAATGGTCAATTTCAAATGGAATAGAATTTGGAAGGACCTATTATTCATTTTTGAAATTTAATCTTCATTGTTTTTTTATTGATTTTTCAAATTTTTTTAAAATATATATTTTATTTCAGAACAGTTTCAAGAATCCAAATGTGATTTACTGAACAACAATTTGAAAGTCCCTGAGAAAAATGGTTGTTTTTTTACCCAAAATCATTTTGAGAATATTGTTTGGGATTCAAAGAAGTACATTCATATTTTTCTGCTTAAAACCCATATTTTACAGAAAAAAAATGATGTCGTAAAATATTCAGCTTTTTTTTTCAACCTTTTTTTGTCTCCAGTGTCATTTACATTTCTGGTCACAAACTTGGATTCTTTTTAAAAGGTAAGAATTTATTTTACTGGCATCTTGAAAGAGTTTTATCTGAACATTTTCCTCGGTTTAGGATATGATTTAATAGCTAAAAAAATGGGAAATCACAAACTTTTCAAAGATGAAAAGAAAAAATTCAAGATGGCAGAAATAATGATAATATTGATAATTATTTAAACTTTAAAAACTACTTAAAATAAAAACTTGAAAATAATTGTTTGCATTTGGCAGCAAAATTTAGCCATTTTATTTCAACATAGATGAATGAATCCACACCCCCATCTCTACTCAATGAATGATTTGAAAATAATTCTCCATATTCTGACACATAGTAGGTGAAAGCCACTTTTGAAGACTGTCCTGATCAGACAATCAGAAAAATGTCCTCCTAGTCACAAAGTGCAAATCACACCCAATGTAAATAGTTGACCTAGGATGTTAATATATCTGTCTATATCTCTGAGATGAGGTATTATGATTATTTCATCTACATTGCCATATTCACAACATTTTGGCCTTTGTACGCTCCGGCCTTCTTCATATGATTAAAATTTCAAACTGAACCCTTTATTTAATCATAGATTGTTCTAGTTCTACAATGTCCCAGTTATTTCCCTTTGACTCAACTCTCCAAGATTTGGTTCATCACTGCTGTGGCCTAGTATTGAATTCACAATAGGTCTAGTCACTGAATCTAACCAACATCTTTAGCTGCTGGGCCATGTGTCCTTGAGGACATCTGTGTATGAATTTCTGGGATATATAAGCCTAATGTCTCAGCAACATTTTTTTTTACCAGTGCTCATATTGCAATTTTTCTGTTATTATTATTGCATTTTTTTTTACCAGAGCTTATATTGCAATTTTTGTGCTATTGTTATTGCTTTTGTCTAGCACACCTTATTACTGGTTTCAATATTGTATTCATTTCTAGGCTCAGGAGATTTTTGTGGCCTAGCAGATGTACCGATTCCTTAAGTTTTCATATTTTTCAGTGATGTTCTCTCTCTATTCTTTCAACCTCATCTCACAGGGGGCAGTGATCTCTCTTTCCCTCCATATAAGGTCAGCTGTGCCTGATTTTTCTATTTTCCCTCATGTTACTACTTTACAATATTCTTGCAGTCTTGCTTTAAGGTGAGTCGCCTATTTCTTCTTTATATTTCTTACCACAGCTACACAGACGCTGTACACACTGTCCTTGTGTTCTCCTCTATGGGGGGGTCTTACTTGGAAGAGGTGTCTGTAAAGTGTTGAACCACTTTTGAAGATTGTACTGATGTTTTGTATTTTCTCCGATAATGGCTTTACATAGGGTAGGCAGACTGAAGCTGTTTTCTGAGTGTTGTAATCTTCTTCTCTTACCCTTCTATCCCAGTTTGTCTGAGCTGCTCCCATGTACCCAGGATAATTGTTAGGTTGTAGGGTAATGCTTATACTGACCATTTTTTGTTCATATGACTATGCATCGCCACATGACTTTTCCTCGATGTACAAAGTAGAAAACGATTTCTTTCTTTACACTGTATGGGTGGTGGGAGTTAAAGTTGAGGTATTGTCCAGTGAATGTAGGCTTGCAGTATATGGATGTCTTGAACTCATGCACTGTTTGAGATATTAGTACATCCAGGAAGGCGGGTTTGTTGTCATTTTCTCTCTCCATTGTGAACTGTATCAATGAACTTATCGAGTTCACATGGTCCTGTAGTAGCTGGAATTCTTTCCTGGTGAGGTCATGAAGCTGTCATCTATGTATCTAAGCAATAGGGTTGGCTTTAGTGATGTAGGGAAAAACTGTATGACATGTAGGTATATAAATACCTACCTGAAAGGAAAGAGAAGAGAATCTCTCATGTAACCGGACACCTACTAGCTGACAATAATTGACTAAATCCAAAGTTGAATAAAATGAAGAGATTTGAATTTGTTTTCTCTTTATTGATGTACAACAATTTCTTCACTTGATTTAATGCCTTATAAACACCAGGTTGCATCAGAAATACTGTTCCAAATGAAAAAGCACATAACTCCTGAGAAGATTTACTATATCAACCTACAAATTTAACACAAACTAATTAATCTACTAAAGATGAACATAAAATCTCATTCAATATGGTTCCCTTTAGTTTTGACCACACATTGAAATCTATCAGGAAAGTCATTGATGATCCCACACAGAATTTCCATGGGTCTTTTATCCCATAAGAGCTTCAATATTGGGATGCAGAGTAGAACAGGCCTCACTCTCAAGCACTGTCCACAAATAATAGTCAAGAGCATTGATATCTGGTGATAAGGAAGGCCATTCATCTTGATAATGAATTATGTCTGTACCACAGCTGTCTAATGGAAGTGTCCAGTGTTCATCATCATAAGTGGCATTGCACCACGGTTTGAGTACATCTTCAGAGATGCCATCTATGTACACTTCCATGTTGATCTTTACACCTTGAAGCATGAAAAAAGGAGACTTTTTTCTTTCTGAAATGGATGCTCAAATCATAACTGATACCAGTTTCTGGGTTCTGAGATATTTTTGGCAGGAACTGATTAATGACATGTTCAAAGCCATGATGATTAAAACTCTGTTCAACAGTGAACAGCTTCTTATCAAAAGAGATGATGTTTCGCAATGGGCCATCATGAATCCATTTCAGCAACTGCTTAATTCTTTGAAGACTTTTTTTCATTTGGATTGTTGAAAGAAGCTGTCTCTGGAGTTATCTTGTAGGGCAACATCCCAAAAGCATTCCAGTACAGGCCTCTGCATGGTTCCGGCTCCCTTGGTCAATTTTTCATTGTCCTTCTTGGATTACGCCTGATTTTTTCATGCATTTGTTTAATGAGTTTTGACATTCTGGATATGCGAGGACATCCTGCTCTCATTCTATTTTTGATGGAGGCAGTCTCATCTTAACGATCGATTGTCCTTTTGATAAACACTCTACTGATTACAAATTGTTTTCCATCTTTAGAAACCATTGGTGGAGTCAGTTTGTTTTCATGTTGCACAGTTATAGACATTCTTTTAATTTCTATCGATATTGTTTTCAGTAAATACTAAAACACTTAAAAAAAATAGTATATATTATTGGATGACTATCAAACCATATAAAACAGTGTAATGACCAAAAATTTAAAAGCAGAATTCATTTGAAATTTTATGCTGCAACTTGGATACCAAATTCAAAGAGTATAATAAAACACTGAGATGGAGAAAATTTTCAGTTACATAATACTATTTTCCACATTGTCACCACCACAGTCTATGAATTTTCAAAGTTCTCTTTGTTTTGTGGTCTGAAAGCTGTAAAAGGCCACCTAGACTACGGGTTGTCGCATGTATCATTGACATCAATGCTGAAATGCATTACCCACTGTATTACTGTGCTCACATCCAGTGTTTGAATTCCATAAATGTTCATCAAGCATTGATGAATGTCTATGAGAATAATGGAGGAACTCAATGACATGTGTATGCTTTGTATACTGTTATTTAGTGTTACCTATTCACCGGAAGTAGTATGTACCATATCGGTAACAGCCGTATCTCTTTATAGTCTTTGTGACTTCATGTGTAAATGAGTCACCTCATTACATACTTTCATACAAGAAACCATTTTGGCAGACAGTTATCTGTAACAAGGCAAAATCATTATAGGTTATTGACATGAATTTTTTGTCTGAATTTTGGGGGTTGAGGAATTATGATTATTTACATTATTAACAGAATATTGTCCTGATTATTTTGGCTGCAGTGTTCATCATTGTTGGTCCAGGTAACCAAATGGAACCCTTTACTTAGTCTATTAGGTAGACTGTTATTGTTCTTGGGTATCTCGTCTAGTTCTTTATTTTAACAACATTCTTCCAACCAGAGTCTGACATATAGCAACTGGAGGAAGGTTTGGCTATGGGTTTGTGGAAATGGCTTTATGAATGTCACCACTAAAGTCAAACAGTATGGCTGAGTTATGTAGATGAAATCTTCAAGGGATTGTTCAATGCCCACAGCATCAGGCAAAAATCATAAATGGCACCAAGACAAGATGAAATATTATATATATATATATATATATATATATATATATATATATATATATATATATATAGAGAGAGAGAGAGATCAAAGAAAAGAGAGCATTATTGATAGATAGATGATACAAGAATGAACGTTATCTATCTCTCTAGTACTATATATATATATATATATATATATATATATATATATATATATATATAACAATGAAAAGAGAGAGTGAAAGAGACATATAGATAGACATACGTCATGTCTGTGTGCATGTGTATTTTGTAACAATTTTTCATACATTTCACACAGTTTCCGACAAAAGTGAAGAAGATTTCAGAGAGTTCTTCATGGAAGATAATCCCAAGACAACACTTGGAAGAAAAGATGAAGGTAAGGATTTGATTCCTTTTTATTCATATATCATAGATATTTCATTAAATCTAAAAGGTAATTAGGATTATGCAAATTATGAAACAATCAACTTAATTGGATTTTTAACCCTATTATTCTCACCAGGAAAACGTCAAAATATCTTCCAATGTGTTTGTCATCCAATGACGATCAGGCAACAGATCAATGAAAAGAGTAGCTGGTGTTGAAACTTAATCATTTTTAAAACAAACATGTAGTATTGTAGATTTATTGTGTGACACTGTTAGAATTGAATTTAGTTGAAAATCATTTCTCAGATTAAAAAGAGATTCTCTTTCAACAGATTTGAATAAAAAATAACAAAAGGCTTAGAAAAACATACTTTGTGGGTTTATTTCTATTGGAAAATGCCCCATCTATGAAAACATCTGTCAGTTTGTAATTCCCATCTCTCTGTTTGTTACTCGGTCTGTTGATGAAGGTAACAGGTGTGTCCGAAAGTTCCAAACATAAAACCTTTCTCTCCGTGCTTCATTTCTGTCATATGGTTAATATTTAATAAATGTTTATCGTACTAATTAGATGGTTACTCTTTAATTTGTCCTTGTTTTATTAACTACATATTTTACATTATTTGGACCATTTTCCTAATCTTTGTCGCCATATTTATTACAACGTTTTGCCTGTTGTACGCTCCAGCCTTCTTCAGGTGGTTGGAATGTCGAACTTAATCCTTTATTTCACTCACTGGGGTAGAATGTTCTAGTTCCACATGTCATGTTTAATGAATGTCAGTTATCTTTATCTCCTGTTAATTTCCCTCATAAAGTTCTCCACTCTTTAACCGGGTATTGAACTCTCACTTTTGGGTCCCTGTCACTGGATCTAACTAATGCCTCATGGACACATGGCACAGTGGATAAAGGCTTTGGTTAGATCCAGTGACAGGACCAAAAGAGTGTGAGTTCAATACCCGGTTAAGGCAGTGGGGAACTTTCAAAAGGAAAATTAACAGGAGATAACTGATAACTGATATCCATTAAATATGGCACATGTTGTCTAGCTCAGTGAGCGAAATAAAAGTTTAATTTCGACATTCCAACCACCTGAAGAAAGCCAGAGCGTATAACGGCCGAAACGTTGCAATAAATATGGTGATAAAGCTGAAGACAATAGTCCGAATAATGTAAATAATGTACATAATGCTTCATCTAAGAAATATAGACAGACAACCTATTTTACATAGTATTTTTACATAATATGTATATTTATTATATATATATATATATATATATATATATATATATATATATATATATATGAAATGGACAAAGTCCGACAATTATTTTAAGACATTTTTATGTTTATACATTCTTTTTATAGATACAAATATTTAAGTAAATGCTCTGTTTATAATAAACAGTATTAAACAATATTTACCGGCTTGAATGTATAAAAAGGATGTATAAACAAAAATGTCTTAAAATAATTACCGGACTTTGTCCATTTCATAATGTGTGACGTCATTTGTTTACATTTGATACGCCATGAGCAGATATGAATGTCCGATAGAGATTCATAGAAGATTGAAGTTCAAATACAGTAAATTCGAACTTGCTAGCCGAACCCTCCTCTGTGACCTATTCGGAAAAGACACGTCAAGCTAAATGACGGTTTCGTATAGGATACAGTTTCGAATCCTGTCGGAGGACGAATATTTTCTGTGAAAATTTCTCGGACATTCAGGCCGGTAAATGTTGTTTAATACTGTTTATTATAAATAGAGCATTTACTTAAATATTTGCTTCTATAAAAAGAATGTGTAAACATAAAAATGTATTATATATATATATATATATATATATATATATCTTGAAAAATAAAAAAATAAAAATCTTTAGACACACTAGGTTGTAGATTAATATTCTTTCGTTTTTTTTAATTATTATTCCATTTTGATTCCTCGAATAGTTTCGACCAAAATGGCCATCATATATATATATATATATATATATATATATATATATATATTAATGAATATGTGTAAAGGACAAATGAAAGAGTACCAAATTAATATGATAAACATTTATTAAATTGTAATGTAATTTCTATATATATTTATACATTATATATGCACAGTATTTATTGGAAAGTGCTTAATATCGGTGATAGAGCTAACATACTTAGTTGTATTGATATGAGTTTGTGACACTGTGTTTCACGCCTTTGCGATCATCAGACAAACTGATTTATTTTTTAAATTTTGGATCTCTGTTTGGCGATGTTTGGTGATGTTTGATGGTAGTGGGAGGAAAAAATCCCCTCTGTGTCCTTTTTGTATGTCACTCATATGTATGCATATATAGATACATGCCGGTGTGTGTATTGTAGGTCAGAGAAACATATACATATATGAATATTGTGGAGCTGGGCACAAACATGTATCCATGTGTCCGGATATGTATACATACGTAACTGTGGTTGTTTTCAGGGTTGAAATTGTATAGTGAAGTTCTCTGCCAATCCCGATGTGGTAAGGGGAAATTTTATACTAATACAGGATAATTGGGACATAATAAATGACATCATGTCAGAACATAGTAGTTCACAATGTTCTTACTTGATTCTTGCTACCGACATATAGTCTAGTACAATCTTTTACTGCCAGGGGTAAATGGAACACCATAGCCATAATGAAGTCAGTCCATCTTTGAGAAACCAGGAATAAACCATTCATGATCAACTCAAGAACTCTTATGATGATCAACAAACTGAATATATCCAGGAAAAAAAATTCACTCATCAACTCTGCAGCTGCCAACAAACAATTTGCTCTTATTTGGAAAACTGTCAACAAGATCAGTGGCAGAAAATAAAATAAAAAAAAAACATCCAAGTTAAAGGCCAATTGTCAGGCTGAATAAATGGCAAGACCACTTTAAAAATCTCTTGGGAAATGTCAAGCAAATCATGAAACATCCTCTTGATATTAAACCTGGAAACTTTAAAGATGCAGAACTAGAATTGGCTTTAAAAAGGACCAAAAATATGAAAGCAGCGGAACTTGATACCATTTCTCAGGGGTTTGGAAGATTCAGGATTTTAATTATATTCTACTCCAAGTTCATAGAAAGATCGACAGAAAATTGCATACTTCCTTTTCCCAAAGAAAGGAGATCTAGGATTAGCAATAAACTATAGAGGATTCATAATCACCTCCATTGTAACAAATATTTACAACTCAATGCTTCTCAACAGAATACAGCTGGAAGTCGAAAAGGTGATCCAAAATATCAAAGTGGCTTTTGAAAAAATAGATCAGCCGTTGAACAAATCCTGACTCTTTGGCAAATTATTGAGGGCATCAGGACATAAAATCTACCGGCCGATTTTTGTGGATTTTTCTAAAGCCTTCAATTCTGTATATAGGGGGGAAATGGAGAAGATCGGTTTAGCATATGACATCCTCCCCGAGGAAGTAACTGCTATAATAATGATATACAAAAATACCAATTCTTTGGTTAGATCCACAGATGGAGACACTAATCTCTTTGATATCAAAGCAGGTGTCCTCCAGGGTGACACTCTTGTTCCATTTCTCTTTGTGATCACCCTTGACTTGGCAAACAACATCATCTAGGTTTTACTTTATCACCATGACTCCTCAAATTGGTATCCTTCAAAAAGTTGATAGGTATTGAATATGCAGATGATTACCAATGTCACAGTTAGCCTACATCATCTAGAAAATACTGCCAATGATTGACTCTATGTCAATACATCTAAAACTGAATTCATAATCAGTAAGGCTCAATAAACTCTGTCAAATCTTTTGCATACCCAGGAAGTGAAATAAAATCTACTGAAAACCATGTGAAAATTTGTATAGGTAAAGCCTGAGCAACCTTGAATAAAATGGATGTAATCTGAAAATCTGATCTACCAGACAACCCCAAACGGAGATTTCAAGCTACTGTAGAGGTGGTGTTAAAATATGGCGCCAATCCCTGGACATTAACAAAAACTATTGATCCTAAACTTGATGGAGCCTTCATCTAGATTATGTGAGGTATACTTAATATCACTCAGGGACACCATTCAACTAAATCACAGATCTATAGATCCATCCCTGATATTTCTACAATCTTATGTGAATGTAAAATGCACTTTTCAGGAGACAGCTGGTGATTTAGAATTGTATATAATTACTTTCTGAATTTATTTTTCTGTCATAATTGTTTTTTTGCAGATGTCACACAAACCATGACTTTTGCCCCAACAAAAAGGATTTTACCAATCAATAAAAGTAAGTGAAAAATATCTTAATTTCTTGGAACATATTTTTTAATTTGTTTTAATTCTTGATAAATAAATTTCTGGCAAAGATGAAGCAAAGAAAGTTTAAGATTATTTCAATCTGAGATTGGTGCCAAAGTTTTCCTTTCACCATTGTTCACTCTTATGCGCGTTTTATAAATATTGGAATAAAACCAATTCGGAAGAAAATGACTAAATCAGTTAAGGTTTAATAGGAAAGATTTCTTTCTCTTGAAATGGTTGGAAAGTTGGTCCTATTCATGGCAGCAACATCAGAATATTGACTTTTAATTACAAATTGCAATATTAGTTGTTTTGCTATTAATTGAATAGAAATAAACAGTATAATTGTAGAGATTTTCCTTCCCAAATAAACTCTATGGTGATTGACATTGTCTGATTAGAGACGTGGATTCATATGTGAATAAAGAAAAATAAATTGTTTTCTTTTTTGTCTTTTCAAAAGATAAAATTCCATTTGAATTTCTCAGATGAAAAACAGATTATTTTCATGAATCTTTTCCTGATGATTGTTTCATGTTTGTAGCATTTACGACTTCAGTTTTGGATAATGGAAGTAATTCTTCAACAAAGGAAACGCCAACGAACAGTTTACATGTTAAGACAGGTAAGTAAATAAATCTTTTCCGAATGTTTCTTTTTCAGTTTGTTTAAAAATTCATCAGGGACAATTTACTGATTTGAAAATTGACTGAAATTTGGATGTCTTTTCTTAAAGCAAATTTTACACACACAATTATACATACATATATATGTTTCATATATTTTATTGTTATACGTTATTTATATAGACACAAATATTTAAGTAAATGCTCTGTTTATAATAAACAGTATTAACAACATTTACCAGCCTGAATGTCCGAGAAATTTTCATTGAAAATATATATCCTCCGACAAGAATCGAACTTTTACCCTACATGGAAACGTCATATAGCCTGACGTGCTATCCCAGTTTATAAATAACGTATCACATCCTCAAAATTACAAAACTATAAGCCAACTATCAAATGACAAGGCTGCAACCATTGATAGTCTACCAGTTGAAATATAAATGTGGAAGGCAAAAGCTTGTTATCAAGCTCTTTGATTTTTAACATGTGTATTGGAGCAAAGTTCTGTACCATCGCAGTTCATGGATACATCTGCCAAACCAAACAATTTTACAAACATAAAGATTCAGATCCAGAAGAGGCATCATGTGTTTGTGAACACCGAAAATAATAACTTTTGAGAAGAACCTCTTGAGATGATAATTTTTTCCATAATGGAAAAAAAAGGTCTCAGATGATGATTGACAGATCTCAACAAAAGAAGTATTGTTTTATTGACATGGTGTTTTACACAATGTATGGAGAAAACATTGTCATCATATATTATTATTTTATATTGATATATATTATTATTTTAATTATATATTTATATATAATATATATTATTATTATTATATTATATATTTATATTACATATTATTATTATTATTAAAAAATGACAGGACACAAAGAAATGTAAAACAAATATTTACAAAATATTCCTTGTTTATCATATTTAATTAAACATGCATAAAAGAAGGATTGCTTCACAAATATATACAAATATTAGCTAACAATAATTTTCCCAACTCGTCTGGACGCAACTTACATCCGAGAATCGGGGTCATCATCATCTCTCCTTATTCCCTTTCTTCCAACCCCACCCTCTTTGGTAGCAGTAGCCGAGATAACTGGGATGGCCAACCTACTTCCGAAGAGGCGTGTGTCATAGAAGAGTGTGGGTGGTGAACGCGGCTGGGCAAGTCGAAGAAAGTGAAATCAGTGAAAAGTGATGAGGCCATTCGTGTGAATTTGATTTTTATGGACAACTTTGCGCGATGGAGAAGCCCACATACGTAACCAGAAGCGTCTTTTTCAGAGGTCAAAGGGAAGATATGGCAAACCTGGTTGCATCGGACTGTTGAATGCTTGGTCTGTCAACAATAATAAAAATGTTCTCATATATTTAATGATAATTTTATACTTTGACTATTTTTTTTATTTATTGATTCGTTTATATCATTGGCTTTAAGGTAATAATAAGTCAAAGTGGTACATTTGATAACGAACTGTTCACTCAGACATTCAATGTAAAATATATATGGTCGTCCCTTGTCATGGTAGAGGGCTTCCTTGTTCCAGTGATCCCAAGATCAAAGCCATTTTGAATTCCAACTCTTGTATAACCACCCATGGCCGTAAGATTTAGGAGTAGGGACCAGACTGAACGTGACCAATCCCCGAAGACCCTAACAGTAGAAATAGACAAAGATCTACACAATCTCAATGGAAGAGGGTAGCACCAACCGGGGCTGGTGTAACCAAGCAGACTTTTCCCAACTGCATCACCAATAAACAAATAAAATTATTCTTACAAAAAAATACATGACACCAGTACTAAAAATACAATACACAATACGACGATAACGGTCGTGGAATAGCAGATGTAGCTCGTAAATTCCTGTAGCAAACTTTTATGTAAACATAACAACTTTGTCAACTTTGATGGTGAACATCTCTGTTGTAATGTCCATATAAACACTCTGATGATGGCTCATGTGAGCCGAAACTTTAGATTGAGGAATAGCATAATAAAAAAAAATCTAAATGTTAGACAGTTTTTGTCTTTATATTCTCCTAAAACTAAAACCATTATACGAAGCTTAGAACGGTTCATGATCAAACATAATAGACATTCGTTATGTGTTATATTTTAATATATATATATATATATATATATATATATATATATATATATATATATATATATATATATATGTATGTATGTGTGTGTGAGTAATTGTGCGTGAATTTACATAAACAGAAACAGAAATAGATATATACATGCAATCTAATAGATATGTAAAATATATTTAATTTTAGTACAAATAGTTCATCAGTTCCTGTCTTGCAATTTTTTTGTCCTTTTTAACTTATGCCGAAAATTTATGTACTTGTAAAATATTTCTTGATTAGTGATTGAAATAAAGTCATTAACAGGTTAGAGAATCAAACATGTCAGAAAAAAAGAAGAGACGATTTTGGGGTTTTTTTTTGTTTTGCCAAATTTTGTTATCATCCAAGAATGTTTTTTCATGTTTGTGATTCTTAAAATGTTCTTGTTGTTGTTATTGTTTTCTTTTCAGTCATCATCATTGTGCTTGCTGTTGTGATTGTTTTGTTGATTATTATCGCGCTGGTAGCTTTCATCTTTTACAGGTAAATCTGACAAGATTTAATTGTCGTTCATTTATTGGACTAACATTCGTTATTCTTGAGTCATTCAAAGCTTTTGCAGGGAATTATCTTTTATGGTTAAGCAACTATACAGAAAAACAATAATATGCTTTTCTAAGTGTGCGCATGTACGTGTGTGATTGTATATATATATATATATATATATATATATGTATGTATGTTTGTATGTGTGTTTGCAGGAATTGATAACGCATCTTTTGTTCTGATAAGGAAGATTTGAAAATCCAGGTAATATGACATTCTTTATCATTAGGAAGTTTCATGAATCGATATCTTCAATAAGAATATATTGATGCATGGGGATTACCACACCTTACTCAGTTGAGAGCTACCTCTTTACTCTTCTCATCATTTGTGACTTTTGAAACTCTTGACACCAGCATTGGATTTCATATGTATCTTGCATATTTGACGATCCTTGATTGGGTTGATTGGATCTGTATGGCCGACAACTCTGGTGTGGAGGACCTCAAAGTGCTATATAGATGATCATCTGCAAACATCGTTGCAAAACACAAAGGTATTGTTGGCAGGACGATGAAGCAGGCTGTCATAGTTGGCCTGTTTCTGGTTATGATGACATTTTCGATGGATTACATATTCTGCTCTCAACAACAGCATGCGCTCACACATATGTCACATTTCCAAGACTGCATATAAGCTGGCAATTCACAATGAGTGTGTCTTCATAGATCATGTTAGATCTGATCATGCCTGAGATATTCATTCTCAAAAGCATTGCATCCACCCCCTTATAGAATGCCTCAAATCTGTACAATTTAAAGCCAGTTCTTCCCAATGCTATACATCCATGTGTAATACATTTAAATTATCCTTCAGATTATCTTTAAACCACTTCCTAAGCTTGTGAAGTGGATGCGTTCCTGTCTTCAGTTCTCTGTAGAGAAGCTGTTTTGAGAACCCTGTTAATCCCCCTTTTCACGACCTGTTCTAATCTATCACATCGGGTTGAAGACTCTTATTGTTTCAATGCTGTTGAATTCAGATATTTGCAGGATATTTAGTGTGTGGAAATAATGATTGCTATTTAATTAGTCCCAGTCATTTTTAGTAGATTCACTCAAGCCATTTTATATATCTTCATTATGTTGTTCATGTTTTAGTACAGTTCATCAGTGATGTTAAGACACTGGCTATATACGTACTTTAGTCTTGATGGCCTCTATCTGACTAAACTCTACTTTCCAATTTGCCAAATGCAACACTTGCCTTCTGAATGCATGAAAAATATCAACATCCGGGGTACTATATTTTCATATAGTGCTTTGTAGGTATGGCAATAGGTTATATAGTGCTTTGCAGGTTTGGGAAAAGGTCAACACCCTCCACTGTGGTATTTTTTAAAAATATAGGCTCTTTGTAGAGCATGCCAGTTGGAAAGGTGAACATCACTTTTGTCTTCCTTCTAATTCTCAGTCCCAGAACATTACAAATGGTAAAGAAGCGTTCTATTATGAGATGCAAATCTTCCTTCGAGTGTGCTATAAAGTCTGTGTCATCAGCAGACGACAAATCTCGGATCAGGCACTTAAAGTTCTTGGATTTGGTGTGGAACCTTCTGAGATGGAACACTCTTCCTCAAGACGACTCCTGCCTCACAGTCCCTCCTGACACGCGCACAGCAAAGTAGATAAAGAAAAGTGTTGGTGTAAAAATGTCACTTTGCTTTACTCCCATTGTTTACTGCAATCTCATCTAAACTTGAGCCATTGAATGTGAGACGAGTCTTCATATCATTATGCACTTGTTTCACTCAGTTAACAAAAGTGGGTATGGGTTGAAAGTAAAAGATTTTTTTTTTGTTTATCCATGCGTTTTCATACAAACCAAATGCATGAATAAACAAAAATAATAATTTACTTTCAACCCATTCTGAAGAATTATATGAGAATTTACCTTGGATGCATTTAGAGAAAAAGCTAAATAAATTTCTTACTTTCTAACCATTTTGATAAGGAGAAGAGGATTTGCCATTAATTCGATACAGGATAGCTGGAAAAATATATCAACAACTTTCGATTCAAAGTGAGAGAAAATAAAATAAATGTGAACGACTTTTTAAAAACATTTATTGATTTTCTTTCTTCTTTAATCATGAGAAACGCCACCTTAGGGAAAAAGTCCTAAGATTTCATTATTTAAATATACACACAAATACACATACACACATTTCATTCTTTCGTTTTCAAATCTGATGCAGCCTTAAATGGCTTATATCAATATTGATTTATATATAGATATATGCAGATTGTCACATCTTACTCAGAGGAGAGTTAACTCTTCACTCTTCATATTACTTGTAATATCTTCCGTCACATTTTGGCATCAATGGCTCCTAAGATGACCCTTGAGAGCATCATTTCATTTCATAGGTATCATGCATATGCATAACAGATAAACTCCGTATCCTTGATTGAATACATCCCCCACATCTCTGTCTATCTGTCTGTCTGTCTGTCTCTCTCTCAATCTCTCTCTCTCTCTCTCTCTATATATATATATATATATATATACAGTGTAACCCGGATATAAGAGACCCGGGTATAAGAGAAACCCGGATATAAGAGAAACCCGGATATAAGGGAAACCCGGATATAAGAGAGATTTTATCTGGTTCCAAATTAGAGCCATACTTACCTAAACTAAACAGACCAAACCCGGATATAAGAGAAACCCAGATATAAGAGACTTCTCCGGTCCCGACAACTCTTAAATCCGAGTTACATTGTATATATATATACAGTATTTACATTAGTCGGACTATTGTCCTCATCTTTGTCGCCATATTTGTCACAACGTTTCGGCCGTTGTACGCTCCGGCCTTCTTCAGGTGGTTGGAATTTCGAACTGAACCCTTTATTTCGATCTCTGGGGTAGACTGTTCTAATTCCACGTATATATATATATATATAGTGTGTATGTGTATATATATATATATATAGTGTGTATGTGTGTGCCTGCGTGTATTCCCCCACCCCCAGCTATGAGTAAATAGCAGGACAGACGGGGTTCTATAGCCTTGGGTGGCAACCATTCTAGGAGACGGCAAAACTCTGAATTCAAAACTGGCCTAGAAAGAGTTGGACTCTGTCAGGCTATTTTTCCCAAGAAACACTATTTCTACTGCAGCTGCAGTACACATGGTTCCCCTACGATCCTACGATCACGAGATAAAGAACAACATATATATATATATATATATATATATATATATATATATATATATATGTGTGTGTGTGTATATATATATATATATATATATATATATATATATATATATATATATAAATGTAAAGTGGACATTGATGTCAACTCCTAAGGGAAAGTGTCTGTTTTACGTTTAAACACAATCATAACCTGAAGATTGCGTTTAAACATGAAAAGACAGTTGTTGCTGGCTGATGGCCTCAATGTTCACTTTATATTTACATACAATCTATCCCTGGTATTGAGCACTTTAATCCATAAATATAGCATATCATAAAAATATATTTTATCATATATATATATATATATATATATATATATATATATATAGGGTTTCCCCCCAAAATGTATACACACTTAAAATAATTATAAAGTCCGTGTTTATTAAAATATATTTCATTTTCAAAATTTAATAGAATCTAAAGACATTATTAGCCACACAGATTTTCTTCAGTAATGGAAATTATTTTGTTTTTGGTGGGGTTTATAAGACAGACGACCCATATTAATTTCATTGTTTATTAATTATATTGCTCTGTAACAATAAATACATCGAGCTCTTTTTGTGGATCAGTTTTAATATTTTATATTACTAAGATTCATTCGCATTTATACCAATGTATTTTTTACCTTTACTATATATATATATATATATATATGATCGGCGTCTGGCTTTCCAGTCAACTTTGATCTTCCAAAATTTAAATGCAATGTCGATCGTTATCTTCTGTCTTCTTAATTCCTCTTCTTTTATTGCTCTCTCCAAATGATAAGGTTTTTCTTTTTCTCATCTTCTTTCACACTCAGTAACCCTTCCCTTGCGTCTTAGTGGCTTTATTGCCTTGCTTGGAGAGAAATGATTAAAATATAAATGCACTGTCAATCGTTATCCTTTGTCTTCTTAATTCCTCTTCTTTTATTGTTCTCTCTCCTGAATAATGTTTCTCTTTTTCTTATTGTATACATGTGTGAGTGTTTTTTTGTGTATGTATTTTTGTGATTATGTATATGAATGTGTATGTGTTTTTATACATGTATAAATACTTGCTTGTATGTGTTTTCATGTTTGCGTGTGTATATATTGCGTGTGTGTGTTCGTGTGCAGCAGCACAATGATTTAAAATAATGTTTTCTGTTTTTTTTTTTTTGTAGAATAAAGCTTCAGAAAGAAAAATGGGTGCCAAACATTGAAACGAATGAATACATGAATGAATTTCCGTTTATTGGAAATGAAGCAAACGACGTAAATACTTATCATAGCATAGTTCCAGATGCAGAGCAAGATTTTGATAATGGCCAATATTCTTCTGTCGAGAACGTCTTGTATGTAACAAGCAATTCAGTGGATTTAGCTCAGCTAAAGGCACAGAATCAGCCTGGAAACAAAGAATCGGCACCAGGCCCCGATGCTGTCTATGCAGTGGTCAACAAGCAAAATGCCATAAAAGATGACTGTTCAGCTACTACAGGGGATTCACAGCATGTTGTAGTGAATGGAGATGTATATGCAGTAGTTAATACGGAAAACAAGATGTAAATAGAGAAATTGGAATGTCATCTGTTGGACAATTTAAACCAGATCCTTGTTTGAAACGTTTGCATTGATTGAAACTGTTCTATAAGAGATGAAAGCCACTGATGACGTGTTGAATTATTGGAGGAATTACTTGCAGACATTAATTCTTTTTCTTTACCAGAAGTCAAAGGTTTTTTTGCATTGGTTGAAACTGGCTATTTGAAAATTTTTTCTTCGTGTTTATTTTCCGAAATGTTGTGTGAAGAAGAATAAAAAAAGTAGCAAAATAGGAAGCCATTTTCTAAATTATTTGCTCTTAAAACTATTTCTCTTAATTTTTTTCATCTATCTATCTATCTATCTATCTATCTATCTATCTATCTATCTATCTCAGTCCTTTTAATATCTATCTATCTATCTATCTATCTATCTATCTATCCCACTCTCTTCATTCTATCTATCTATCTATCTATCTATCTATCTATCTATCTATCTATCTATCCCACTCTCTTCATTCTATCTATCTATCTATCTATCTATCTATCTATCTATCTATCTATCTATCTATCTATCTCAGTATCCTCATATCTATCTAATAAACTATCTATCAGCCCGTTCATATCTCTCAATCTCAGCTTGTTTATACCTATGTATGGATGTACGTATGTCAGTATGTATCAGTATGTATGTGCAGGGATAAAGAAATACCTGGGATGGTGTCCAGTCATGTGGGTAACCCAGTGGGTGTGATGAATCCCAAGCTTGTCAAAAAGCATCCATCTCAGAGAAAAACAAACTGTGATGCAAAACCTGCCTCAGTGTTGATGCATATAGGTCTTTTGTCATCAAGAGACATTGATGATACAGGATACATTGATGATACATGATACATTGATGATACATGATACATTGATGATACAGGATACATTGATGATACATTCCTGAAAGATTTGTGAATTTAGAAAAACATTTCCAAATGATGATGAAAATGAAGAACAATTGAAATTCAGAAGTAAACGAAAAAAATATGAAGAACGCTCGAAAAGAGAAAAAATTAGATGTAAATTCTGACAAGGTCGACAGAAGCAGAAACAGCCAAAAAGAAATTGGAAGACATTATTTCAATTATTTTGTTAGCTCATACCAGCAGGGACAACCTCGTGTTCACAGGAATAAAAACATATAAAGAAATAACGCTAAAAGCACGTTAAATTGTAAATAAAAATCATATAATTTTATTTATTTCTGCGGAGTGGTATGTGTTGTGTTGTAAGGTTTCATGTGATAAAGCAAGTCACTTCGTCTTAAGTCAAACAAGGTACCAAAGAGAAGAAATGAGTCACTGAAGGGTCCGTAGCGAAGAGAGTGAATTCAGCATTTTTAGGAAAGTTTTCTGTTGCGTGCAGGGAGAACTTTTATTATTTCGGTTGTATTTTATTTTAAACAAAATTTAATGTTTTTTCTTTGATTTTATTTTATTTTTGATATTTATTATTAATATTTTAATTTTTATTTAATAATTATAATGTCTCTACAATTTACACTTTCGGTAGAATCATTGATGTAAATCAATACAAAATAACCATTAAAAATCCTCCACATAGGAGGCTTATTCTAACCATAAAAATCCTACTCTTTAAGTGACTCCAAGCCGTGAAAGCCTTACGATTGGCCAGAGTAGATTTGATCTGACTGAACAAAGGCGATCCTTATACGGAGTTATGAAGCGCCATGGACTGAACACATCTTCATGGGTATGATTTGTCTTTTCTTGACTTTGGAATCATTAACTTAAAATGATTGGTTGCAGTTGTATTATTACCAGAAAAACTCTTGAAAATTCCACGGTTTTCCTATTTTAATATTCTGATGAATCTTAATTCTTCAGTTAATGATTGATAAGCTTGTAGAGAGTTCTATGACAATAGGATATCTGCTGAAATTCTATCATTTTGTTAAATATTTGAGCTTAACAACTTTAACAAAATATTGCAATAACAATCATAAATAGGAATGCTGGTCAATATTTTAAAAAGTAAGTGGGTACAAATAAAATGATTTGAAATTGACAACTTTTCCACTTCAATAAAACAGATTCAGGCACTTTCTTTCTTTCTTTCTTTCTTTCTTTCTTTCTTTTCTCCCAGAAATCAAGTAGTGTCTTTCTCCCTCTTTCCACACAATCAAAACGGAATAGTCCATTATTTATGAGATATTGAAATCATAGTCTATAACAGGGGTTGCCAAACCGCGTATCGTGAGCCACGCGCGGCTCTTTGATCTTTAATATGCGGCTAGTGAAAATGTTGACTGAGCTCTTTTTTTTTTTTATCTCAGTTAATATAAAAGATAGTTCTTTCAGTGTTACGAATCTAGTCGTAACACATTTTATGGACATTTTATACTTTTATATTTCGTAGTTCATTTTCTTGAGATTTTTAGTAATTTGCAGGACCAGTTAGTGTTTACACTCCCTTTCCATATAACCCGGCGACTTCTTGTCGAACCCAGAGAGAGCGGGACGAGGAGAAGGAGAAACGCAGGCCATTGTGGCAAGGGCGCTTGGATAGGCTATGTATTGAGTTACATTCCCATTTATTTTTGTCTGCCAACTGGATGCTAGTTGGGCTCCACTACAGACCCAACAAAGAAATGCATATAACGTTGAGTGTTTCTAAAGGTTGACTAAAGCTAGGCACAACACTCTGGTATGTAGGCAATACAAAGGAAGACGCCTAATCTTGGAAGTGTCTAATTGTTGATTAGAGAAAAAACACCCTGGTAAGTAGACCCAACAAAGAAACTCATTTACCGTTCACAGTCACTAATTGTTGGTTAGAGCTACACTCAACGCCCTTGTAAGAGGTTCCAACAAAGAAATTCACTTTGAATGTCACCAAATCATCATTGTGGATCTATTTCTCCTTCATTTTCTTCCAAAAAATACATTCATATCTTCACCTGTTTTATTTATAGCAAATTTAATAAAAACAAATTATTTCATTTATAAATTTCGTACATCTAAAACTTCAAAGCATAGACATTTGGAAATTAACTATTTGAAATCTAATAGTAAACTTCAATTTAAATTAATAAATTATTTTTAAAACTCTAAATGCTCTATCGCTTCTACCATGGAAAGTGCTCAGACGAACTGCATCTTTCGCTTCTATCAAGTGTGACTTTCAGGGACAGGACCTGCCATGACACTCACATAGTAGTAAACCAATCATATATCCTCTATAGTCTATCGGCTAGAAGTAAGCTCTACTTGAAGAGCTTCTTCCTGTGAACAATTTCTCTATGGAACAGGATCCCAAAAGGATGTTTCCCCTATCCCTACAATCTAAACCTGTTCAAATCTAGTGTTAACCATAATCTTCCCCTCTTATCCATATAAACTACCACTTATCGTAACCCTCTACCTCGAGTAGCCCCTGTGGCTTGTACAGGGTGAAACCTAGTGTAAAAAGAAGATACCTTACAAAATTCACACAAAACATAATAACATCATTATTTACATTATTCGGACTATTGTCCTCATCTTTGTCGCCATATTTATCACAACGTTTCAGCCGTTTTACTCTCCGGCCTTATGTGAAGGAGCTATCAGAGAAAATACAAAGGATCTGTTGTCCATATAACATCAGGACAACCTTCACAGATATCTCTCCCGAGTAAGACAGCCAATAGAGGAGAACAGGACTAAAGACTGTGTGTATGCTATCCCGTGCAGTTATGGAAAGGAGAAACAGGCCGCCCCCTGTAAATAATGTACAAAATACCTCATCTCAGAAATATAGACATAATAACATGAATAACCTTGTCAAAAGTAGGCATAATTAGAGAGAATTAATCTAGACATTATATAATATTTTTTAACTAAAGCAAGGCGATAATGCCACTAAGACACAAGAGGTTACTGGGATTGAAAGAGAATGAGAAGACTTTAGTGAAAAGAAAGGAGAATAAAAGAACATGTTTCAGGAAGACAGAAGATGGCGATAATGCCACTAAAACACAAGAGGTTACTGGGAGTAAAAGAGAATGAGAAGACTTTAGTGAGGAGAAAGGACAATAAAAGAACAGGTTTCTGGAAGACAGAAAATGGCGATAATGCCACTAAGACACAAGGGGTTACTGGGAGTGAAAGAGAATGAGAAGACTTTAGTGAGGAGAAAGGACAATAAAAGAACAGGTTTCAGGAAGACAGAAGATGGCGATAATGCCACTAAGACACAAGGGGTTACTGGGAGTGAAAGAGAATGAGAAGACTTTAGTGAGGAGAAAGGACAATAAAAGAACAGGTTTCAGGAAGACAGAAGATGGCGATAATGCCACTAAGACACAAGGGGTTACTGGGAGAAAAAGAATGAGAAGACTTTAGTGAGGAGAAAAGGAGAATAAAAGAACAGGTCTCAGGAAGACAGAAGATGTTTTTATTAAAAGATAATCATTGCCACTAAGAATGAGAGAAGATTGAAAGTTTTAGTGAGGAAAGAGAAGGAGAAAGGTTTTAGGAAGGAGAAAGGACAATAAAAGAAAAGATTTTGAGAAGGAAGACAGAATATGGCGATAATGCCACTAACAAAAACACAAAGAGAATGAGAAGACCTTTAATAATAAATTAACAAAAAGAAAAATTTTTCAAAGAAGAAAATTACAATGAAAAGAAAGAAGACAAAGAAAGGACAATAAAGCAAAGGCTTTTGTCAGAAAATGGCGATAATGAAGAAATAAAAGAATAAGTTGTTACTAGAGGAAAAGAAAAGGAAAGAAATTGCGAGGAGAAACGGCAAAAAAAGAACAGGATCGGAAGAGAATGTACTAGACTAATGAAAGAGGAGAATGAAAAGAAAGGAATGAAGAGAATAGAAGAAAAGAAGTTAAAAAAAAATAAAAGAACAGGGATGAAGGGAGAAAAATTTACAATTTTGAAATAAGGAGAATGAAACAAACAGGAAATGAAGAGAATGAGAAGAATTAAATTTGAGGAAAAAAAAGAAAGGGATGAGGAATAAAAGAATGGAAAGAGAATGAAAAAAGAAAGGAAGAAGAGATTAGAATTGGAGAAATTATGAAAGAATTTAAAAGAAGAAGATGAGGAGAATAAAAGAATGATGAAAGAGGAGAATGAAGAGAATTTGGAAAAAGAAGAAGAAAACATGATTGAGGAAAAAAAAAGAAAGGGATGAGGAGAATAAAAACCATGAAAGAAGGAAATGAAAGAACAGGAAATGAAGAGAAAAGAAGAACAGGAAAGATTAAAAAAAAAAGAACTTCATGAGAGGAGAATAAAAGACCATGAAAGAGGAGAATGAAAGAACAGGAAAAGAGAAAGAAGAACATGAATGGAGGAAAAAAAAAGAACAGGGATGAGGAGATTAAAAAGACCATGAAAAAAGGAGAATGAAAGAAAAAGGAATGAAGAGAAGAGAAAGAAAAAATGAACGAGGAAAATAAAAGAAAGGGATGAGGAGAAGAAAAAAAGACCATGAAAGAGAGAATGAAAAAGAACAGGAAGAAGAGAAGAAAAATGAATGAGAAAAAAAAAAAAAAGAAAAGGTGAGAATAAAAGAAATGAAAGAAAAGAATGAAAAAGAAGAAGGATTGAAGAGAAGAAGAAAAAGAAATGAAAAAAAAAAAAAAGAACAGGGATGGGAGAATAAAAGACCATGAAAGAAAGAATGAAAAGAACAGGAATGAAAGAAAAAATGAAAAACAAATTTTGAGGAAAAAAAAAAGAAAGGGATGAGGGGAGAATAAAAGACCATGAAAGAGGAGAATGAAAGAACAGGAATGAAGAGAAAGAAGAAAAAAAATGGAGGAAAAAATAAAAGAATAGGGATGAGGGAGAAAAAAAGAGAATGAAAGAGGAGAATGAAAGAAAGAAATGGAGAAGAGAAGAAAAATGAATGAGGAAAAAAAAGAAGAGGGATGAGGAGAATAAAAGACCATGAAAAGGAGAATGAAAGAGGAGGAATGAAGAGAAGAGAAGAAAATGAAACGAGAAAAAAAAAAATAAAGAGGGAAGAGAGGAGAATAAAAGAATGAAAGAGGAGAATGAAAGAACAGGAAATGAAGAGAATAGAAGAAGATGAAGAAAAAAAAAAAAAAGAAAGGGAAAAGGAGAAAAATAGAAAGAAAATGAAAGAGGAGAAATGAAAGAAAAAAATTGAAGAAAAAAAGAACAGAAAATGAAAGAAAAAAAAAAAAAGAAAGAACAAAGGAGAAAAAAGAAATGAAAAAAAGAGAATGAAAGAAAGGAAAAAAGATGACAAACATATGAAAAGGAAAATAAAAGAAAAGGATGAAAAAGAAAAAAAGAAATGAAAAGGAGAATGAAAAAGAGAAGGAATGAAGAAGAAAAGAAATAAAGAAAGAAAAAAAAGAAAGAATGAGAGAAAAAATGAATGAAAAAGGAGAAATGAAAAGAACAAGAAATGAAATAGGAAGAGAAGATGAATGAATGAGGAAAAAAAAAAGGGATGAGAAGAAAAAAAGAAAGAACCAAAAAAAAAGGAGAAAGAAAAAAGAAAATGAAATGAAGAGAAAAGAAGAAATCTCAGAAAAAATAAAAAAGAAAAGGGAAAAAGGAAAAAAAAAGAATGAAGGAAAGAGGAGAATGAAAGAAAAGGAATGAAGAGAAACCAAAGAAAAAAAAATGAAAAAAAAAAAGAACAGAAATGAGGAGAAAAAAAATGAATGAAAGAAGGAGAAAAAAAAGAACAAAGAAATGAAGAGAAGAAAGAAAACATGAAAGAAAAAAAAAAAGAAAGGGATGAGGAGAATAAAAAGAAAAAGAAAGAGGAGAATGAAAGAAAGGAATGAAAGAAAGAAGAAAATGAATTTTAAAAAAAAAAAAAAAGATGATGATGGAGAAAAAAAAAAATGAAAAGGAGAACAAAAGAACAAATAAAAAAGAAGAAAGAAGAAAATGAAAAGAGGAAAAAAAAAAAAAGAGAAGGGAAATGGAGAAAAAAAACCAAAAGAAAAAAGAATGAAAAGAACAGAAAAGAGGAGAAAAAGAAAGAAGAGGAAAATAAAAGAACAGGGAAAAAAAAAAAAAAAACCATGAAAAAGGAGAACAAAGAAAAGAAAATGAAGAGAAAAGAAGAAAAAAAATGAAAGGAAAATAAAAGAAAAGGAAATGAGGAAAAAAAAAGAAAATGAAACACAAGAGAATGAAAAAAAAGGAATGAAGAGAAAGAAGAAAATGAATGATAAAATAAAAGAACAGGGATGAGAGAATAAATAAAACTCCAAGAAAGAGGAGAATGAAAGAAAGGAATGAAGAGAATAGAAAAAGAATGAAAGAAAATAAAAGAAAAAAAATGAGGAGAAATAAAAAAATGAAAGAAGAGAATGAATGAAAATTGAAAAGAGAAAAGAGAAAAAAAGAAAAAAATGAAAAAAGAAAAAAAACAGGGATGAGAGAATAAAATTTTATGAAAAGAGGAAAGAAAAATGAAAGAAAAAAAAAAGGAGAAAAGAAGAGAACATGAAAAAAAAAAGAAAAGAAAAGAAAAAATAAGAAAAAAAGAAGGAAAGAGGAGAATGAAAGAGAAAAATGAAAAGAGATAAAGAAAGAAAAAAAAATGAAAAAAAAAAAAAAAAAAAGAGGAAAATAAAAGGAGAAGAAAAAAAAAAGAAAAAAGAAAAAAAAAGAAAAGAAAAAAGAAATGAAAGAGAAAAATAAAAATGAATGAAAGGAAAAAAAAAAAAAAGGGATGAAAGAATAAAAGAAATGAAAGAGGAGAATGAAAGAACAGGAATGAAAGAATAGAAAAAAATGAAATGAGGAAAAAAAAAAAGAAAAGAATGAGGAGAAGAAAAAAAATAAAAAAAAAAGAAAAGAAAAATGGAGAAATGAAAGAAATAGAAAAAATGAATGAGGAAAAAAAAAGAACAAGGATGAGGAGAAAAAAAAACTTTGAAAGAGGAGAATGAAAGAAAAAAAATTTTGAAAAGAAAGAAGAACATGAATGAGGAAAATAAAAAAAAGGGAAGGAAATGAAAAACCAAGAAAGAGGAGAAAAAAAAACAGGAATGAAAAAAAGAAAGATGAAAAGAAAAAAAAGAAAAGAAAAAAGAGAAAGAAAAAAAGGAAATGAAAGAAAAGAAAAAAGAAAAGGAATGAAAGAATAGAAAAAAATGAAAAAAGGAAAAAAAAAAAAAAAAAAAAAGAAAGAATAAAAGAAAAAAGAAAAAGAGAAGAAAATGAAAGAAATTGAAAAAGAGAAAAAAGAAAAATGAAAAAAGGAAAAAAAAAAAAAAAGAATGAAGAGAAAAAGAAAGAAATAAAAGAGAATGAAAGAAAAAGGAAAAAAAAAAAAATGAAAGAAAAGAAAAAGAAAGAAGAATGAAAAAAGAAAAATAAAAAAAAAGGAAAAAAGGAAAAAAAAAGGAAAAGAAAAAAGGAGAAAAAAAAGAAAAAAATGAAAGAAGAAAAGAAATTGAAGAAAGAAAAGAAAAAAAAAAAAAAAAGGAGAAAAAAATTTTTAAATGAAAGAGGAGAATGAAAAAACAAAAATGAAAGAGAATAGAAAACATGAAAGAAAAAAAAAAAGAACAGGGAAAAGGGAGAAGAAAAAGAAAAATGAAAGAAAAAGAATTAAAAGAAAGGAATGAAAAAAGAATAAAGAAAATGAATGAAGAAAATAAAAGAAAAAGAAAGAAAGGAGAATAAAAGACCTTGAAAAAGAGGAGAATGAAAGAAAGGAAATGAAGAGAAAGAAAAAAATGAAAGGAAAGAAAAAGAATAGGGATGAGAAGAAAAAAAGAAAGAGGAAAAAAAAAAAAAAAAGGAATGAAACAAAAAAAGAAGAAAAAGAAAAGGAGAATAAAAAAATAGGGAAAAAAAATTCAAAAAGAAAAAGAAAAAAAAAGAGGAACAAAAGATGTTTAAAAAAAGAAAAAAAAAAATGAAAAAAAAAATAAAAGAAAAAAAGAAAAAGAGAAAAAAAATGAAAATTAAAAGAAAAAGAAAAAAGGAAAATAAAAAAAAAAGAAATAAAAAATGAAAAAAAGGAAAAAGAAAAAGGATGAAGGAATTTAAGAAAAAAGAAAAAAAAAGAGGAGAAAAAAAAAAAGGAAAAAGAAAAAGAAAAAATATGAAAGAAAAAAAGAAAAAGAAAGGGAAAAAGAAAAAAAAAAAAAAATGAAAAAGAAAAAAACAAAAGGAAAGAAGAAAGAAAAGAAAAAATGAAAAAAAAAAAAAGAAAGAAAAAAAATGAATAAAGAATAAAAGGATGAAAAAAAGAAAGAAAAAAAAACTGAAGAAGAAAGAGAAGAAAAAAATGAAAGAAAAAAGAAAAGAAAAAGAAGAAAGAAAAAGAAAAAGAAAAAGAGGAAAAGAAAAAAAAGGAAAGAAGAAAAAAAGAAAGAAATTTGAATGAAAAAAATAAAAAAAAAAAAGAATGAAGAAATCTTATTTTTATAAAAAAAGGAAAAAAGAAAAAAAAAAAAAAAAAACAGAAAAGAAAAAAAAAAAAAAGGAAAAAGGAAAGAAAAAAAAGGAAAAAAAGAATGAAAAAAAAAGGAAAAAGAGAAAGAAGAAAGAAGGAAAGAAAGAAAATAAAAGAAAGGAATGAAAAAATAAAAGAAAAAAAAAAAGAAAAAAAATAAAGAAAGAAAGAATGAAAAAAAAAAAAAAGAAAAAAGGAAAATAAAAAAAAAAAAATGAGGAAAAAAAGAACATGAAAGGAAAATGAAAGAAAGAAGGAAAAAAAAGAAAAATGAAAGGAAAAAATAAAAAAAAAGAATGAAGGAGAATAAAAGAAATGAAAAAAAATGTTTAAAATGAAGAAAGAATAGAAAAAATAATGAAAAAAGGAAAAAAAAAGAAAAGGGAAAAAAAAAAAAAAAAAAAAAAAAAAAAAAAAAAAAGGAAAAAAAGAGAAAAAGAAAAAGGAAAAATAAAAAAAAGAAAAAAAAGTTTGAAAAAAAAATAAAAAAATTGAAAAAAAAAAAGAAAAAAAAGAAAAAAAAAAAAAGAAAAAAGAAAAAGAAAAAAAAAAAAAAAAAAAGGGATGAAAGAAAAAAAGAAAGAAAAAAAAAAGAAAAAGAAAGAAAAAATGAATGGAAAAGAAGAAAAAAGAAAAAAAAAAAAAAAAAAAGCAATGAAAAAAAATGAAAAAGAAAAGAAGAAAAAAGAAAAGAAAGGAAATGAAAGAAAGAAGAAAATGAATGAAAAAAAAAAAAAAAAAAAAAAAAAAAAGAGAGAAAAGAAAGGAAAAAAAGATGAAAAGAAAAGAAAAGAGGAAAAAAAAAAGAAAAAAAAAAGAAAGAAAAGGAAAAAAAAAAAGAAAAAAAATGAGAAAGAAAAAGAAAAGGGAAAGAAAAGAAAAAAAAAAAAGGGAATGAGAAAAAAAGAAGAAAATGAGGAAAATGAAAAGAAAAAAAAAAAAAAAAAAAAAATTTGAAAGAGGAAAAAAAAAGAAAAGAAAGAAAGGAAAAAAAAAGGAAAAAAAAAAAAAAAGGGATTATCTCCCGAAAGGAAAGAAAGAGAAGAAAGAAAAAAAAAGAAAGAAAAGAAAAAAAAAAAGAGGGAAAAGAAGAATAAAAAAAAATGAAAAAAAAAAAATGAAAGAAAGAAAATGAAGGAAAAAAAAAAAAAAAAAGAGGAAAAAAAAAAAAAAAAAAAATGAAAAAATAAAAGACAAAAAAAAAAAAAATCAAAAAAAAAAGGGAAGGAAGAAAAAAAAGAGAAAAAATGAAAAAAAGGAAAGAAAAAAAAAAAAGGGAAAAGGAGAAAAAAAAAAAATGAAAAAGGAGAAAAAAAGAAAAGGAAGGAAAGAGAAAAGAAAGAGAAAATAAGAAAGGAAGGAAATGAAAGAAAAAAAAAAAAATGAATGAAAAGAAAAAAAAAAGGAAAAAATAAAAAGAAAAGAAAAAAAAAAAAGAAAAGAAAAAAAAATAAAAAAAAAAAAAAAGAAAAAGGAGAAAAAAAGAAGGAAAAAAGAATGAAAGAAAGGAAGAAAAAAATGAAAAGAAAAGAAAAATGAAAAAAAGAAAAAAAAGAAAAGAAATGAAAAGAAAAAAAAAGAAAAAAAGAAAAAAAACGAAAAAATAAAAGAAAAGAATGAGGAGAAAAAAGAAATGAAAGAGGAGAATGAAAGAAAGGAAAAAAAAGAAGAAAAGAAAGAAGAAGAAAAAAAAAGAAAAAAAAGAGGGAAAATGAGGAGAAAAAAGAAAATGAAAGAAGGAAGAAATGAAAGAAAAGAAAATGAAGAGAAAGAAGAAAAGGAAAAAGGAAAAAAAAAAAAACAGGAATGAGAAGAAAAAAAAAAAAATGAAAGAAAATCCAAAAAAACAAATGAAAAGAAAGAAAATGATAAAGAAAGGAAAAATTCGTTTCTAAGGGAAAAGGGGAAAAAAAAAGACCATGAAAAAAAAAAAAGAAAGAAATAAAAAAAATGAAAAAAAAATAAAGAAAAGAATGAGGAAAAAAAAAGAAAAAAATGAAAAAAATAAAAAAATGAAAAGGAGAATGAAAAGAAAGGAATGAAGAAAGAAAAAAGAGGAAATTGAAAGAAAAAAAAAAAAAACAGGGAAAAGGAGAAAAAAGAACCAAATGAAAAAGAAAAAGAATGAAAAAAAAGGAATGAAGAGAAAGAAAAAAAAAGGAACGAGGAAAAAAAAAGAACAAAAATGAGGAAATTAAAAAAAAAGGAAAAAGGAGAATGAAAAGAAAGGAATGAAAAGAATAGAAGAACAAATAAAGAAAAAAAAAAGAAAAGGAAAAAGAAAAAGAAGGAAAAAGACCATGAAAGAAAGAAAAAAAGAAAAGAAATAAAAGAAGAGAAAAAGAAGAAAAAAAAACTGAGGAAAAAAAAAAAAAGAAAGAGGGATTGGAGAATAAAAAAAAGAAAGAAGGAGAATGAAAGAACAGGAATGAAGAAAAAAAGAAGAACAAGAACGAGAAAAAGAAAAGAAAAAAATGAAGGAGAAAAAAGAATAAAAAAAGAGAAGAAATGAAAAGAAAAGGAATGAAAGAGGAAAGAAGAACAGGAATGAAAAAAAAAAAAAAGAATGAGAAATGAAAAAAAAAAAGAGGAAAGAAAAAAGAAGAAAGATGAGGAGAAAAAAGAAGGAAAAAGAAAAAAAACAAATAAAAAAAAAAGAATAAAGAAAATGAAAGGAAAAATAAAAGAAAGGGAAAAAAAAGAAAAAAAGAAAAGAAAGGGGGAGAATGAAAAAGAAAAGAAATGAAGAGAAGAAAATGGGAACGAAGGAAAATAAATAACAGGGATGAGGGAGAAAAAAAAACAAGGAAAAAGGAGAAAAAAGAACAGAAAAATGAAGAGAAATAGAAGAACAGGAAAACGAGGAAAAAAAAAGAACAGGGATGAAAATAAAAAGAATGAAAAGGAGAACGGAAAGAAGAAAGAATGAAAAAAAAAAAATGAAAAGAAAAAAAGAAAAGAAAAAGAAAAAAAAAAGAATTTTGAAAAGGAGAATAAAAAAAAAGAAAAATAAAAGAAGAAAAAGAACAGGAAATGAGAAAAAAAAGAATAAGAATGAAAAAAATAAAAAGAAAGAATGAGGAAATAAAAGAAAGAAAAAAAGAAAAAAAAGGAAAAGAAAAAAAGAAAAAAAAAATGAAAGGAAAATAAAAAAGAACAGGAATTTTTTAAAAAAGAACATGAAAGAGGGAAATGAAAAAGAACTTTTTGAGGAGAATAAAAAAAACAGGAAAAAGGAAAAATAAAAGAAAAGAATGAGGAAAGAAAAAAGACTATGAAAAGAGAGAATGAAAGAACAGGAATGAAGAGAAAAAAAAATGAATGAGAAAAAAAAAAACAGGGAAAAGGAGAAAAAAGAAGAAAGAGGAGAATGAAAGAACAGGAAAGAAAGAGAAGAAAGAAAACAGAAAAGGAAAAATAAAGAACAGGGATGAGGAGAATAAAAGAAAAAAGAAAGAGGAGAATGAAAGAAGAAAGGAATGAGAGAGAATAGAAGAACAGGAATGAGGAAAATAAAAGAACAGGGATGAGGAGAATAAAAAGACCATGAAAGAGGAGAATGAAAAAGAAAGGAAATGAAGATCAAAGAAGAAATAGGAACGAGGAAAAATAAAAGAACAGGGATGAGGAAAAAAAAAAAGAAAGGAAAAAAGAGAAAGAAGAAAAGAACAGGAAATGAAGAGAATAGAAGAACATGAACGAGGAAAAAAAAAGAACAGGGAAAAGGAGAATAAAAAAAAAAAAAAAGAGGAAAATGAAAGAAACAGGAATGAGGAGAATAGAATGGAATGAAAAGGAAAATAAAAGAACAGGGATGAGGAGAATAAAAGACCATGAAAAGGAAATGAAAGAACAGGAATGAAGAGAATAGAAAAACAAGAACGAGGAAAAAAAAAAAGAACAGGGATGAGGAGAATAAAAAAATGAAAGAGAGGAGAATGAAAGAACAGGAATGGAAGAGAGAATAGAAAAACAGGTTTAAAGAGGAAAATAAAAGAAAGGGAAAGAGAATAAAAACCATGAAAGAGAAGAATGAAAGAACAGGAAAAAAAGAAAGAAAAAATAAATGAACGAGGAAAATAAAAGAACAGGGATGAGGAGAATAAAAGAAAAAGGATAAAGAGGAGAATGAAAAGAAAGGAATGAAGAGAAAGAAGAACAGGAATGAGGAAAATAAAAAGAACAGGATGAGGAGAATAAAAGAATGAAAGAGGAGAATGAAAGAACTCAAATGAGGAGAATAGAAGAATATGAAAGAGGAAAATAAAAGAACAGGGATGAGGAGAATAAAAGACCATGAAAGAGGAGAATGAAAAGAACAGGAATGAAGAGAAAGAAGAAAAGGAACGAGAAAAATAAAAAAACAGGGATGAGGAGAAATAAAAGACCATGAAAGAGGAGAATGAAATAAACAGGAATGAAAGAAACAAGAAGAACATGAATGAGGAAAATAAAAGATATAGGGATGAGGAGAAAAAAAGACCATGAATTTTCAGAGGAGAATGAAAGAAAAAGGAATACAACGAGGAAAATAAAAGAACAGATTTGAGGAAAATAAAAGAAAAGGGAAAGGAGAGAAAAAGAAAGAAGGAAAGAGAGAAAAATAAAATGAACAGGAAAAGAAAAAGAGAAAAAAAAAGATTAAAAGGAAAAAAAATGAATTGAAATGACAAACGAAAAAGACCATTCAAAAAGGAAAAAGAAAAACAAAAACCGATTTTGAGAAATGTTTAAAAGAAACTCTTAAACGATAAGGAAAAGAACAGGAATGAGGAGAATAAAAGACCAAGCTCAAGAGGAGAATGAAAAGAATGAATGAGGATTCAAATGAGGAGAATAGAAAAACATGAATGAAAAAATAAAAGAACAGGGATGAGGAGAATAAAAAGACCATGAAAGAGGAGAATGAAAGAACAGGAATGAAGAGAAAAGAAAATTTCATTGGTTAAAAAAATAAAAAAACATGCCATTAATTTTTAAATATAATGGTTAATATGGAGAAAAAAAAGGAGAGAGAATGTGAAAGAAAAAGGACAAAAAAGATAGGTTTCATCAAATTTTCAATTGGAATAATGCCGAAAATTTACAAAAAGGGGTTGGCTTTTTGATATCCTTAAATGAAAATCGATAAAGATTAAGAGGAGTTAAATATCAAATAATAGAAAAAGGTTTCAGGAAGACAGAGGATGGCGATAATAAAACTAAAAAAAAACAAGGTTAATGGAGTGAAAGAGATTGAGAAACCTTTAGTGAAAGAAAGGACAAATAAAAGAACATGTTTCTGGAAGAAGACAATGGCGATAATGCCATAAAAAGAAAAGGCTTACTGTGTTTGAAAGAGAATGAAAAAAACTTTAGTGAGGAGAAAGGACAATAAAAGAATAGGTTTCAGGAAGACAGAAGATGGCGATAATGCCACTAAGACACAATGGGTTATATGAAGGAAAGAGAATGAAAAAACTTTAGTGAAAAGAAACATTCAATATGAAATTTTTCAGGAAGACAGAACGATGGCGATAATGCCACTAAGACACAATGGGTTACTGGGAGTGAAAGAGAATGATAAAACTTTAGTGAGGCGAAAGGAGAATAAAAGAACAGGTTTCAGGAAGACAGACGATGGCGATAATGCCACTAAGACACAAGGGGTTACTGGGAGTGAAAGAGAATGAGAATGCTTTAGCGAGGAGAAAGGAGAATAAAAGAACATGTTTCTGGAAGACAGACGATGGCGATAATGCCACTAAGACACAAGGGGTTACTGGGAGTGAAAGAGAATGAGAATGAAGACTTTAGTGAGGAGAAAGGAGAATAAAAGAACAGGTCTCAGGAAGACAGAAGATGGCGATAATGCCACTAACACGCAAAGGGTTACTGGGAGGGAAAGAGAATGATAAGAATTGATGCTCCACCGATTTTCCTATACACGGATGTATGTAGCCAGGATTAAATCATTAGTTGGGCATGTTGATGCCTTTATGTAAAAAATGTATGAAAGTAGTTACAGCAAAATACTAAAACCAGTAAATCAGAATTAAGTAATCAATGTTGGCTAATCAAACGGAAGATAAAAGTAAAAAATTGTATTCATTTTTATCTCTACCGATATAAGCAGAAAAGAATCAGCATTTAACAGCAGTGCAGCAATAAAGGAGAAATAATAACATTGATGGACCAATTTGACGTATTTTACTCAACACATTATTGTTGTAAAATTCCATTCAAACTCCCGGAAAGGAATTTGACTAAGAACTGATTCCGCCGATTATCTGATTATCTTCCTTTGTTAATGAACACTCTGTGTCGTGTTACTGGTGAGAAGGAATATGTATATCTATTGACATATATGTTTGAACTTATTAATTCAATTAAGTGCTGTTTTATTAACACCAGCAGCGTTGTTCGAAATGTTTATGTTTAATATATATATATATATATATATATATATATATGTATATATATATTTATTGTGTGTGTGTGTGTGTTTGTGTGTGATTTTGATGTGTTTGTGTGTGTGTGTGTGTGTGAAAAAAAATATACGGAAAATCAAACAAAATCCTAATATGCAATTATGCTGTTTTAATATTAATATAATGTCAACGTCGGACGTTTTTAAAAAGGTCATCTTCAGAGAAATATTCATAAAACATAATTAATATAGACCATATTCAATTTTATTAAAAAAAGACGATGGACATAAAAGCAAGACCAATCCAAACAGATAAATGAAATATATATATATATATATATATATAATTTTTAATTATGTTTGTGTAAAAAAGCGTCGCATATTGAGCTGCTGTTGGCGTATTGTTCAGTGTGGAGCGACGAAGAAATAATTTATATATATATATATATATTGTGGTATCCACTTTCGTCGGTGATTCACCAAGTGTGGCATTCCCAATCCTCTATGACACAGATGTTGGTTACAGACATGTTATGTTGGCATAATGCTTACGTCCACTTTTTCTTACTTTTTATTTTCAAATATTTACGTAGATATACATTAATTACATTATCTTTGTCGCCAATTTATCACAACGTTTCGCCCGTTAACGCTCCTTTTCTTCAGGTGGTTGGAATTGTGTCGAACTTAACCCTTTATTTCGATCAAGGGGTAGACTGTTCTAGTTCCACGTGCCATGTTTGATGGATGTCAGTTATCAGTTATCTCCTGCTAATTTTCCTCTGAAAGATCTCCACTGCCTTAACCAGGTATTGAACTCTTTAATTTTGGGTCCTGTCACTGGATATAACCAACGCCTTTATCCACTGTGCCATATGTCCTTGAAATATAGACAGATTACGTAGATATGATGCGAAATTTACGTAACTCAGTGTCACAATAGTACAGCACCAAATGATGACTGAATTCATTTTAATAAGCTTGTTAATTATAACTCTACACTAGATTTATTTTTGTATATATACTTTATATATATGCTTTCTTTGATATAATGACTGTATTATGCCCCGCTTTTCAAGATGAAATTAGCTGTCTCAAGACTTGCTATTTTGTCTTTTTTATACGACATTTTTTCGTTTATCGAATAAGACATTGATAATGGAGAAATTATATGCCTTCCCATTAACGCAGATGGACTTTGCAATCTGTCTGCATGTGGAGTCGTCCTATAAATGTTTAAATAATCTGCAAAAAAGTAACTGTCTGTAGGATCTCTATTTATGGAAAAGGCATTTAATCCCATTTTGACTGTCTTTCTGCAATCCCATTAGATTGTGAATGATACGGTGATGTTTTCAAAGGTAAGCGGCCTATTCACCTCAACCAATCACATAAATCCGCATCACAAAGTGCTGGTGCGTGGTCTGATACCAACATTTTAGAGACCCCATTTCTAGAAAATGTCACTCGTAATATTTGCCTTATTGTAGTTGTTTTTCTCACGTTAACTTTAACGACTTCAGGAACATCCAGAAAAGAAATCTACTAAAATTAGAACTAGTCCTATACCATTAATATATTCATGGTCCATGAACACGAGACGAATATTCCTTTTTTTAGGCTATGAGTGTATTCTCCTTTGTGAAAAAATTCTTTATTTCTGCACATTTTGGGCATTTTATATATATATATATATATATATATATATATATATATATATATATATATATATGCATATCATATATATATATATATATATATATATATATATATATAAATATTTGGACATGTACACTTTATAAATTATCATTTCTTACTGTTTCTGGTGGTACTATCACATCTCCATTGCATATAACACCATAATTAATTTATTCCTTTTTTTTCTTTATAAAGTGTTTCAACTTAGATTATTTACATTACTCGAACTGTTATCCTCATCTTCATTGCCATATTTACAATGTTTGTGGCAGTTCTTTTTAGCCTTTACTTCTGAGGTAGATTGTTCCACGTACCATGCCTCTTCCGGATGTCTCATTTATTTCCTTTACCACTGCTGTAGCCTAGTATTGAACTCACAATTTTTTATGTCAAGTCACTGGATCTAACCAACTGAGCCATTGTATCCTTCAGAAAATCTATGTATGAATTTCTGGGTCTTATAAACCTAATACCCCAGCAAACTTTTTTTTTTTTACCAGCGCTCATATTGCAATTTTTTTTTTTGTTATTCATTTTTTTTTTCTAGCACACCTTATTACTGGTTCCCATATTGTATTCATTTCTATGCTTATCTGCTCCAGAAGATTTTTTGGGGCCTGCAAATAATGCTAATACATTAAGTTTTCGTATTTTCCAGTGATGTTCTCTGTCTATTATTTCAACCTCAGTCACAGGAGGCCATGATAATTTTTTCCTTCCTTATGCGGTCAGCTATTCCAGATTTTTTCTATTTCCCCTCATGTTACCGCTTTACGATATTCTTGTAGTCTTACCTTAAGGGGACGACCTGTTTCTCCTTTATGTTTCTTACCACAGCTGCACGGGATGGCGTGCCACACAGTCCTTAGTCATGTTCTCCAGGTGTCTGCTGAAAGTGTTGAACCACTTTTGAAGGTTGTCTTGATGCTATATGAACCAGATTTTTTTATTTTTCTCCGATAATCCCTTCACATAGGGTAGGCAGACTAAAGCTGTTTTCTGAGTGTTGTTATCCTCTCCAACCCTTCTATCCCACATCTGCTGCTGTCATGTACCTAGGGTAGTTTTACGTTGTAGTGTACTGCTTATACTGACCATTTCTTGTTCATATGCCTTTTGGGTGGCCACTTATGATTTTTGCTCGATGTTGTAAGCAGCGGACGATCCGTTTTTATAATGCATGGATGGTGTGGAGTTGAAGTTGAGATATTGTCCGGTGAATGTAGGTTTGTGGTATACGGATGTCTTGAACCCATGCTCTGTTCGAGATATTAGTACATCCAGGAAGGCGAGATTGTTGTTTTTTTCACTCTCCATAGTGAACTGTATCGATGATATTATTGAGTTCAGGTAGTCCAGTAGTAACTGGACCTTTTCTTGGTGTTGCCAGAGTATGAAGGTGTCATTTACGTATCTCAGCCATAGGGTTGGCTTTAGTGATGTGGATTCTAATGTCATTTCCCCAAAGTGTTCCCATTGCTGGTGATAAATGCGAGCCCTTTGCTAAGCCCTCAGCTTGTCGATATATGTCTGATCCCATTTTCAAGTGTGTTGTTTACGAATAACTGCCCGAATTATACGAATAATGTAAGTAATTATAATGACTCATCTCTGAGATATAGACAGATATTGAAGGTCTTTCAACTTTGGAACAATAACACATTTCTTCCTATCTTCTCAGTAATCTTGATTAATATCGGATGATTGTAGAATTTCCGATGCCAATCTTTGTAGTGATAATATGTCAATTTCAACCCAATCTAATATTTCTTCATCCGGGATTTCAATTTTTTATTTTTCATCTTTATTAAATTGTTGCCTTGACAACGCATTGACATCTATTGTATTTTTTTTTACATAGTCAATGTCAAAATCATATGCCATTAATTTTATTGCCCACCTTAGAATTCTGGAAGATTTTGGTAACACCTTTCTAGGTTTAAAAATAAACTCTAGAGGTTTATGGTCCGACTTTTAATAGGAACATCTTACCTACCAAAAATTGTCGAGCTCATTCTGTATTCCAGACAACATTTTTCAGTATTTGAATAATTTATTTTGCAGCCATCAATCTTCTTGAAAGCTTCATTATTGGATGGCCTTCTTGCGATAAAAACCTGGATAAAGTTCGTTCACCTGCATCCTTAGTTAACGTTACCTTCTTTTTCAGATCAAACATTTTTACACTCCTAGGTTTTTCTGCGAGTATCATTTTTAAATCATCAAATGCTAAGATTTGCCCTTGAGTCCATTTGAACTCAATATTCTTTTTACGCAGTTTAGCAAATGACTCTATGAAGTCGCTGTGTTTTGTAGGTACCTATTATAAAAATTTACCAATCCTAAAAAGAATTCTAATTCCTTTTGTTATTATTAGGTATAAATACCTCTGAAATGTTCTTAATTAACTATGGATCTGGAGCAATACTATCTTTTGAAATCTGAGATCATAAATATGCGATTTTATCGCAATCAAATTCACGTTTGTCTCTAATTATGGCCATCCTTTGTTCATTCGTTTTTTTTGTTGCTGTTGTTGTTTAATTCGTCATTAATGGTGTCACCGAAGCAAAATCATCTTGATAAATAATCCTGTTACTCATTTCATCAGTGAAACGTTTTCCATCGCTTTCTGAAAAGTGGAACTTTGTCGATTTCATTCACGAAAGGCATTCTCGTCTATTTCTTAATAATCCTATGTGTTTTATTATGGTAATTTCATTGAATTGATTATCAGTCTGCATTTGACTGTAGATAGATTTTAAATCAATTTTACAAATATTTAATGCCCGATAATTTGTAGACAGCGGTTTCGATATTGGAAAAAGGAAACGAATCCGAGCATATTTTATGATTTACACCTATTTTGAAATCATCATATATTAATAATAAAGTTTCCATCGAGAGTCACAAAACTACAATGGAGAAATCTAAATTTACCCATTCTACCATTTTCTTTACTTTAAAACTACTAAAAAAGTAGAAGGTGAATAGGTAATTTAGAGGATTCAAAAATAGAGGTGGGTACAATTTTATTTTTAATTGTATGCTCGTTTTATAAGATATTTTAACACTCCAGTTTTTACGTTTTCTGTTTTTATACTATTGATTAATTTCGACGTATCCATTCTTTTATAATGTCTATTTCGACATGTCATTGACTTTTTTACATTCCACTGCTGTCATTTTGTTCTCCTAGTATTCGGAATATATATATATATATATATATATATATATATATATATATATATATATATATATTCAAACATGTTTCTTTGTATAATCTCTAGATATATGCCTGTTTTATTTTATTTAATCCTCCCAAGTTCACAAATCAATTTCTTAGTGTCTCTAAAACTGATCAAGAAAAAAAAGCCATAATTATCCAATATGGTCTTAATTTTCATAAAGTACTTTCAATCTCATTCAAGATTATCTTCAGGGGTAAATTTCTAAGACAAAAATTAATAAGTCATGAAAATGTGAGCATGAACGCTGTAAAAAATTCGAAAAACTTTTTACTTCTAATTAGGGAGGTAACTTAATTTATATAAATTTTATTAAAATTTGTAATTACGTGCTTTAAAATATTGCTTTTAATTGTAGTTTTAACAATTATAATTTAAATATTTTAAAACCTTGCTTATAAATATTTTAGAACTTTGTCCGGGTTTATAATACCACACACACACAAACACACGCATTTTTTTCATCTTTTTTGTGATCCATACACAGACAGACACGCACATTTTGTATTTTAGACAAACACCTTACATATGGTAACCTAGATTTTTAAAATTTATAAAATTATCATTGTTTGACAATTTGTTTTTATTTTCTCTCTAATCTTCTCTGACAATGGTTAAATGATTTGAAATAAATCAATTTCATTTTAATTTTTGTCAAAAATTATCAATTTTCGAAAAATCCCTTGTCAAAAACTATCTGAGCTTTTCATTTTTCTCAAATTCTCTTTAATAACTTTTTTATTTTAAGAGAAATTCTATTTGTTGCATTTTTTGGACAAGAATTTTTTTGAATTCCTTGTTCTAGAAAATGGCATGAATTTGATCGGTTTTAAATTGAAAAATCTTTCATAAAAAGGTTGTTTAATTTCATCCAGGGGCTGTTTTTGGTATATTCAGAAAAATATGGTTAAATATTGATATAACTTTCATCTTTTATTCTGAAATATAATCCTTTATGAAATATTGATGCCCAAATGAGAATGACACAAAATCAAGTAAATCCGATGTTTACATTTAGACAGTTCTAGAAATTATTTCATTACATCAATTTTTTTTCTTTCACTTTTCTCATGAGTGAATGAACATGACTTTTCTTTTTTTTAACAAAGCGCAGTGGTTCTTTTTGATTATTTACAGAACTTCTTTGGTTATACCTAAAAAGGTTTCTTTTCCAGGAAATGAGAGATTTTTAATGTGTCATACTGCGATTTTTTTAACAGTTGACAAAAAAAAAAAAATTAACAAACATACTAAATTCAGATTTCAATTTTCTGCGACATTGAGTCTTTTTGCACTTAGGAAATACAATGATTATTTTTTTTTTAGAGAAAGTGACCCCATCAAAAAAAATTTTCTTTAAACTTGTGTTATTACATTTGGAAAAAAAAAAGGAAGGATTTGTTGCAGTAAATCTTGTTTAAATCTCAGTTTTCAAAAAAATTTCATTTAAAGTATCAGATATCATCATCAGATTTTTTCTTTCATGTTTAAATTTTAATCTTAATGTTTCAATGTTGAAAAAAGGTTTTTGATATTTCCATCCAGGGGCTGTTTTGGTTTCTTATTCCTGGGTATCTCATTCTTTTATTTTCTTTTTACCGACATCTTAACCATTTTCGTATTTTATTCTGAAATAGCCATTCTCCCCATCGAGTTGTTAGTTGTTGTTAGCGCTAAGGTCAAAAGGTGATATCAAAATCAGGTTTTTTGGCCATCTAGAATTTTGAATATATAGATATTTGCAAAAGTTCTAGTAAATTTTTCTTTTTTTCTTCAAATTTTTTTTTTTTCTGTTTCTTGTACTTTTCTAAGCTTTTGAATGAACCAATGAATCTTTTAAAAAAACTCATTTCATCCCGCCTTGGTTCTATAAGGGTTTACTGAGAATGAAGGAAACTGGAAAATGTTATGAGAAGAAAGGACAATAAAAGGTTTTAAACAGATTCTGACGATTTAAATTTATGAAGAGCATTTTCACAGCAAAGCAATAAAGATTTATCAAAAGTAAAAAAGATTTTGTATATTAATGAAGTTGAATGAAAAAAACAAAAGAAGAAAAATTATAACACTCGTCCAAAACAATCAAAGATTTAGATGAATCAACAGGTCCGCGACATTGAAGTCTTTATTGCAATTAGGAAATACAATGATTATCCATAAATTCTTTCTTCTTTTTTTGAAATTAGTCATTGTTATCAAACCTGGCCTTTTTGTTTTTATTTACACACAGTTGCAAATTTCAGCATCCATAAAAACTCGTTAGGTAATGATATGCAGTGTTTGACTATGTAATGTTTATTTTAAATCTCATGTCAAAAAAAAGCCCCTTTTTCCTCAAAATGGGGTTTTATTTGTTCCTCTTCATTATATTTGACATCATTTTTCTTTTTTATTTTCTCTCATGTTCACATATTTGTTGAAAGAATCACATTGAATTTATACATTCCTTCATCTTTTTCGATATTTTCCCTTTTTTCCATATAGGAGAACTATTCCTGTGTAATCGGATATAAAGAGTTTTAGGACCGGAGACACATATTTTCTCTTTTCTTACATCTTTTTTATTACATTTAACACAGATTTTAATTTGGGACCCTAGAAATATCTCTTATTTCGGGTTTTCCATCGAGTTGTTATTGCATTTTGTTTTCAGTTTTCAGTAACGCAATATACAGATCATTTTTTTTATTTTCTTCATTATTTTCTTTAGTCATTTTTTTATTTTCCCTTTGACTTATTTTATAGTTTATTTTTTCGAATTTTCTTTTCTTATTTCTTTCTTATTTTTTCTCTCTTATTTTTTTTTCCATTTTCTTTTTCTTTTTTTCGTTCACTTATTTTCTTTTTTATTTTCTTTTTCATCCATTTTCAATTTTCTTTTTTTTCAAAAATTTTCATTTCATTTTTTTTTTAATCCATTTTCTTTTCTTTTTCTCGTTCATTATTTTCTTTTCTCTTATTTCTTTTTAATCCATTTTCTTTTCTTCTTTTCTCGTTCACTTATTTTCGATTTCTTATTTTCTTTTTAATCCATTTTCTTTTCTTCTTTTTCTCGTTCACTTATTTTTTCTCTTATTTTCTTTTTAATCCATTTTCTTTTCTTCTTTTCTCGTTCACTTATTTTCTTCTCTTATTTTCTTTTTTTCATCCATTTTCTTTTCTTCTTTTCTCGTTCACTTATTTTCTTCTATTATTTTCTTTTTCATCCATTTTCTTTTCTTCTTTTCTTGTTCACTTATTTTCTTCTATTTTTTTTTTTCATCCATTTTCTTTTTTTCTTTTTCTCGTTCACTTATTTTTCTTCTCATTTTCTTTTTTAATCCATTTTCTTTTCTTCTTTTCTCGTTCACTTATTTTCTTCTCTTATTTTCTTTTTAATCCATTTTCTTTTCTTCTTTTCTCGTTCACTTATTTTCTTCTCTTATTTTCTTTTTCATCCATTTCTTTTTTCTTCTTTTTTCTCGTTCACTTATTTTCTTCTCTTATTTTCTTTTTTTCATCCATTTTTCTTTTCTTCTTTTCTCGTTCACTTATTTTCTTCTCTTATTTTCTTTTCATCCATTTTCTTTTCTTCTTTTCTCGTTCACTTATTTTCTTCGCTTAATTTTCCTTATTCTCTTTCAATTATTTTCCCTTTAATCATTTTCATCTCTGATTTTCTCTTTCAATTTTTTTTTTTTTCATTTTCATTTACTTTTTATTTATTTTCTTCTTTTTTCACACATTTTATTCCTCGTTTTCACTTTCGCTTATTTTCTTTCTTCTTTTCTTTTTCACTTCCTTCATTCATTTCCATTTTCGCATATTTTCTTTTCTTCTCTTTTTTGTTTCGCTTATTTTTCTTTGCTTACTTTTTCTTTAACTTATTTTCTTCTCTTATATTTTCTTTCACTCATTTTCTTCTTTTTATTTCATTCATTTATTTTCTCTTATTTTTTCATTCAATCATTTTCTTTTCTTGATTTCTTTTTCACTCATTTTCTTCTTTTTATTTCATTCATTTATTTTCTCTTATTTTTTCATTCAATCATTTTCTTTTCTTCATTTCTTTTTCACTCATTTTCTTCTTTTTAATTCATTCATTCATTTTCTCTTATTTTTTTATTCAATCATTTTCTTTTCTTGATTTCTTTTTCACTCATTTTCTTCCATGATTTTCTCTTTCACTCATTTTCTTTTTTTTTTTCTCTTTTTTATTTTTTCTTCTCTTATTTTCTCTTTCGCACATTTTTTTCTATGACTTTCACTCATTTTTCTTCTCTTATTTTCTCTTTCACTTAAGTTTTTCTCTTATTTTTCTTTTAATTATTTTCTTTTCTCCTATTCACTCATTTTCTTCTCTTATTTTCTCATTCATTCATTTTTCTTCTCCTTTTTCTCATTTAGTAATTCTATTATTTTCTCATTCACTCGCTTACTTCACTTATTTTCTCATTAACTCATTTTCTTCTCTGATTTTTTCATTCACTCATTTTCTTCTCTTATTTCCTCTTTCACAGATTTTCTTCTTTTATTTTTTCATTCACTCATTTTCTTCTGTTATTTTCTCATTCATGCATATTCTTCTCTTATTTTCTCTTACACTTATTTTCTTTACTTATTTTCTCATTCATTCATTTTCTCTTATTTTCTTTCACTCATTTTTCTCGTATTTTTTCTTCAAATCATTTTCTTCTCTTTTTTCTCTTTCACTCATTTTCAATGCTTATTTTCTCTTTCACTTATTTTCTCCTCTTATTTTTTTCTTTCACTCATTTCCTTCTCTTATTTTTCCCGAAGAAATAAATGTATCTTTCCTTCTCCAAATCCTAAAGAATATTTTATTTTATTTTTCTCGTCAGATGAAAGATTTATAAAAACTGCAAATGGACCGAAAACAATTCATTGTGATCAGAATTCTTTCTTTTTTCACAAATTCTACAAAATATATGCGTTCTTGCAATGATCAAAGTTCTTGTCAGATCCGTTCACCAAACAATGTAAATTATGTTTGCATAAAACGTAAGTATGTTTCATGTTTTTCTTTAAACTCCACCCATGCCACTGACATAGACATTTCTTCAATGGAAAATGAAAATATTTTATTGTTTTTTAGTTTGAAATTTGTCTTTCTTTTGTGGTGATACAAATATTTTATTCATGAAATTAAAGATAAAACTTTTTTAAGAAGATAAAAAAATTAATTTTTATTTGTCTGAAGAAAACCATTGATTTTATATTCTTAAATTTATTTTATTTGTTCAAAATATAAATTGGGTCCTGTCACTGGATCTAACTAACGCCTTTATCCAGGAGATAACTGATAACTGACATCCATCAAACATGGCACGTGGAACTAAAACGGTCTACCCCGGTGAGCGAAATAAAGGGTTCAGTTCGACATTCTAACCACCTGAACAAGGCCGGAGCGTACAACGGCCCAAACGTTGTGATAAACATGGCGACAAAGGATGAGGACAATAGTCCGAATAATGTAAATAATGTATATAAATATCAACAGAAAATATTTTTGCAGAATTCTAAAATTGCAACATAATGAAAAAATAAAAAAAATATATTAAGGCATAAAATAAAGAAAACATTTATTTGATATTTTTTGCTTATACAGTCCGAACTGTTTAATCCAACACACTTGGGACCAGAACATTACCAGGCTACAGAAAATCCTGAATGACATAATTTACCCTTAAAAAACAGCCCTATGTAAACATCGCCCTGTGAGACTCATCTCATATATATATTGTCGTTATCAAAGGTAGAACAAGGCTTAAATCAGGAAATTAAACAATCCTTAATGTTTGCAAATAAGGCTTTTTGTTTCATTCGATACAAAGTCTAAAATAAAAAGAAGCCTAAAACCATAATTAATTTATACTTATTATACTTTATGCAATTATATACAAGAAATGATTAAGACCATGTCATAAAAACTCTGCTGCTGTTTAGTGGGTAAACTACGCGTGACAGTGCACTTGTAGCTGCTCATTGAAGTAATGGTGGCTGATACTTTTTGTGCTGAAACGTGGAAGTTTTATTTTTTTTTTTTCAGGCAAATTTGAAAGATCAACATGCACTCAATTGAAACCTAGCAATCCAAGTGTTACTCAAACTGGCTGCTACATTGGGAAAAATATGCGACATTTTCAAATCAGTCTTCCAAAATATGTCAGTAAAATATTCCATGTTTTTCTACTTTATAAGTATCTTCGATATCTGAAGAAAGGGAATGAGATCCACCAGTGTCCTGCATTTTGCTATTATAAATGCAGATCTACCTGTCGAATTGATATCGATGGAGATTCTAGGATCCTTTTTAAAGGTAAAATTTCCATTTTCTTTTTTCCAAGTTTAAATTATTAAAAAAAATATTGTCATACATTTTTTTACTATCAGTTTTGCTAAAAGAATGATTAAGAATAATTGTTCATTTTATGCATAGCAGGTCACCATTTGCATATTTCAAGTGTTGGGTTCTGATGCTTCATGAAATACCCTACAAACAACTAGAAGAGCATATTTCAGGGAATGAGAGTTTTATTCAAGTTGGATACAATGTCATGGATAATCCTTTAAATACTGCTTTCTAAGGGGGTACAGGCTTGAATCCAGGAAAGATTGTAGATTACTGATTTTTTGTTGTTAGTTTCACATCATCTTCACTTATGTTATGAGCTAAAAAGTCAAAGGACTTCACATTAGATTCGCATTTAGAAACAAACACTTTGAGGTTACTTTTAAGATGTTGAAAACATCATCTATATCTTGAATATGTTCATTATTACTGAAGATTAATATGTCCTCCGTATAGATGAGAACACAGATTGGCAAATATTTTGAAATCATTGCAGCATTTTTAAATCCAAAAGGTGTTTTATCACTTGCTGTTCAAATGGGCTTCATATCGGTTCTTTGTGTATTTAAAAACAGCATTCATTAGTCAAGACAATTATATTCATGTCATTGGGGACTCTAGGTCATCAATATTTGTCAGGTTCATTAAAATCTTTAACAAAATATATTATTGGTATAATTTAGATGCTAAAATGATTCCTTTAGTCCAACTAAAATATATAATTTTTAATATCTCCAGCTAGATATGTTTTTTTAAATAATATGTGTATTTATCATGAGTGTGTATTTGTATATATGTCTAAATGTTTATATCTCTCTCTGTGAATTTTTAGTTTAATTTATTATACGTTTATGTACAGTACTGCTGACTGATATCATTTTTCCTCAACACTACCCCAGTCATACACATCACCCTGGATCTGCAGTTTACTAGATAAGGCTGTCACTTTCTTTAATTTTCGCCAACTTACGTCGGGCTAAATTAAATTTAGCCACATTTCAATTGATACATTATGCTAAAACCTTTATACTGTATGAAATAAATTAACTACAATAGATATTTGAAAACAATAAATTGAAATAAAAAAGTATTCTTTGAAAAGCAGGACATACAAGTCATTCGAGATTTTAGAAAGATTATTTATTAAATTAAAGGTAGAAATACATTGCCTATTAAATGTTTCCGGCTCAGATAGTGCTCAGATGTATGCAGCCTGACAAGCCACCTTAATTTTATTAACATTCTTTATTTCTTACTTCCTTTCTATCTGTTTTTTTTTAATTCTTTCTTCTTCGTTATTATGATCAATATCAACGAAATGTATTTCGGCCATTCTTTTGAGGCATGGAGTTAAAACAATTAATTTGGGATCCAGCTGAAATCCAGAATGAAAATGACGCACTAGGAAAGATTTTTGTTTCTTTGAAATAGATATACTTGAATGTTGACTAACCCGGACTAAGTCTGACAAGCCTGACCCTCAGAATCGGCACTGACATGCTTTTTGAAACTGATGGACTTTATTTGTTCATATATTACCTACTTTGTTTTAGTTTTTTTTTTTTTTTTTTTTTTTTTTTTTTTTTTTTCAGCATTGCTTTAATGCTGACCTCTAGACAATTTTCAGTGTTCTATCTTTGATATTCTTAGAATTAATTCGGAGAAACACATCTCTTTTTTGCTTCAAGTCCAGAATGTTTTCAGTGTCTCGGAGATTAGATATTATACATATTATCAAGTTTGTCTCGCTAGATCAATTAAAACTGAGGCGTGAGTTCAATCCACATTGGATGCTCCATACTTTTGACTCTGTATCCACATGATATTAATTTTACTTATTTTTAACGATCGATTGTCTTTTGATAAACACTCTACTGATTACAAATTGTTTTCCATCTTTAAAATCATTGGTGGAGTCAGTTTGTTTTCATGTTTTACAGTTATAGACATTCTTTTAATTTCTATCGATATTGTTTTCAGTAAAACTAAAACACTTTAAAAAAAAATAGTCACACATTATTGGACGACTATCAAACCATAAATATGTATAATAATAAATATTTAGAAGTCGAATTCATTTATAATAGCTACAGAGAAGACAATTAAATATCTGGATAGAAAAAATTTTCAGTTACAAATACTATTTTCCACATCGTCACCACCAGAGTCTATGAATTTTCAAAAGTTCTCTTGTTTTGTGGTCTGAAAGGTAAAAGGCCACCTAGACTATGGGTTGTCGCATGTATCATTGACATCAATGCTGAAATGCATTACCCACTGTATTTTGTGCTCACATCCAGTGTTTGAATTCCATAAATATTCATCAAGCATTGATGAATGTCTATGAGAGTAATGGAGGAACTCAATGACATGTGTATGCTTTGTATACTGTTGTTTAGTGTTACCTATTCACCGGAAGTAGTATGCACCATATCGGTAACAGCCGTATTTCTTTATATAATCGAGACTTCATATGTAAATGAGTCACTTCATTCTCTGTTAACAGAAGAGGCTTTATCCTATTATCTTCCCTGGTATTTCTTCTGGGGCTTTTGCCCCCTCGTTATCTTTCTTCCTCTTGAGAGATTGTCTAGATATGGGAGATTATGATCTTTTTCTTTTTTTTATTGGGGTGATCCTCGAATGATTGTTCTTGTTCATTTTCAGAGTCTCGATTTCACTGTCTCGATTTTACCTTGATAAGATACTTTCGCCTTTTCATCTTTCAAAATCACTATACATTTCTTCATTGCTATCTTTTGTAATCTAACTTGGTTTCCATGAACTAATATCCCATTTTCTATTATCATATTATGAGGGTCCACTTTGCATTATGAATCTTGTCATTGGAGATTAGATTTATTATTCTTTTCATACAATAGTATATCGTTGGTTGCATAGGACATTGTCAATGGGGCCCTAATTTATCTACCCATGAGGAGGGAAAACTTTTTGATCTTCTAGAATGTGGTACTTCTTATAATTTAGTAACAATCTAGGAAGAAATGTTTCTACTGTTTTTATTTCCATTGTACACATATTTTCATTCCGTTTTGTATAGTTTATATACAATCATTTCTGCTAATTGTTTCATTTGTGTTGTTACGGGCGTGTTTTTATATGGTTTACATTCAATTATGTTCAACCATTGGCATAATTCCTTCTCATTAAACTCTGATGCGTTGCCAGATAATAACATTTTTGATATTCCATTTCTTGAAAATGCTTGTTTCATGGTCAAACTTCTTTTAGTTGTAAACCTGTATACGAATCTACCAGTATTAATAATAATCCCACTCCATTAACATGGGCATGAGCCATGTGTACTCTGTCATAAGGTTGGGTTTTGCAGAATAGCCTGGCCACCATGCCTTTCGCCTTAATCTCCACCTGCGTAGATGTTATTGCGTAGTGAACATTGTCATGTATACTTTTTATAATTTTGCTTCTTTGCATTGCTAGGGGAACCATTACGTCTCCATGCATCACCAAATCTTTCTTGATCTGATTTTCCCCTGAGAGTCCATCGATAATGGTTGACTCCGCTATCGTTGAAATTAAGACTTGATTAATTATTTATTGTAATTTTCTTGTATATAACTTCCTTTTTGTTTTGTTTTCTTCACTTTTCTATGCCATCCTATTTCCGAATGTTACTCCATATTTTTCTTTTTCTTTCTCCCTTGTTTTAATTTTCTCTTAATACTTTCCTCAACACGTGAATTTATATATATATATATATATATATATATATATATATATATATATATATATATATATATATAAAAGACAATAGGAAAATTGTGATGGTAGTCCAATGTGTGTGTGTGTGTGTTGTAACAATTTTTCTCCATTTCACACAGTTTCCGACAAAAAGTGAAGAAGATTTTGGAGAGTTCTTCATGGAAGATAATCCCAAGACAACATCTGAAAAAAAAGATGAAGGTAATTTATTATGGTATACTTTTAGTGTCAATGGAGGTGGTTGCTGGGTGACCAACATGTCTTGCTCCATGGCTAGATGTCCAGAACAAACAGCAGATAACTCTCTAGTTAATGTATATATATATATATATATATATATATATATATATATATATATATATATAGGTATATAGGTATGTATGTATGTATGTATGTATATATGTATATATGCAAACTCAGTGAATCAATAAAAAATGTTGAATCTTTTTACATACATAGGAAACAAGACAAACTCTACTGAAAAGGATGTGAAAAATTGCATCGCTAAAAAGACTGGGTCACTTTGGATAAAATGGATGTAATCCGGAAACCTCATCTACCAGACAAACTTTGGAAATTCTTTCAAGCCAAAGATGGTACCACTGCCTGGACATTAACAAAAACCCTAGAGCTATATGTAATATCACATGGAGAAAACATTCAATTAAAACAATCATCCATCCCTGATCTTATGTAAATGTAAATGCAATTTTCAGGAGACAATGATTTAGAAATTGTATAAAATCATTTTTCTGTCATAATTGATTTGTTTTTTTGCAGATATCACACAAACCATGACTTTTGCCCCAACAAAATTTACTTTTACCAATCAATAAAAGTACTTTACCAATCAATTGCAAAATATCAATTTTTGGAACATATATTTTTAATTTGTTTTAATTCTTGATAAATAAATTTCTGCCAAAGATGAAGTAAAGAAAGTTTAAGATTATTTCAATCTGAGATTGGTGCCAAAGTTTTCCTTTGATAAATAAATTTCTGCCAAATGTTTTCTATCCCAAATAAAATGTATAATTCAATTTTAGAGGTTTTCCTTCCCAAATAAACTTCAATACAATTTTAGAGGTTTTCTTTCCTAAATAAACTGTACAAATAATTTGTAGAGGTTTCAATTGAAACTGTCCAATTAATGACCTGGATTCATGTGTAAATAAAGAAAGTGAAAAATTAGATTTTCTTTTTGTCTTTTCGAAAGATAAAATTCTTTTTGAATTTCCTATTTGAAAAACAGATTGTTTTAATGACTCTTTTCCTGATGATTGTTTCATGTTTGTAGCATTTACGGTTTCAAGTTTGGATCATGGAAACAATTCTTCATCAAAGGAAACACCAAAGAACTGTTTACCTGTTGATAAAGGTAAGTAAAATATTTTAGAATTTTTTCATCAGAGAATTAAGAAATATTTTTGATCTGAAAGTTGACTGAAATTTGAATGCCTTTTCTCAAAAAATGAGAATATGTTGGCGTATGCAAGTGTGTATGTGTATATAAAAACATCAATGCATTGACATATGACGTCAATGTAATGACATATGACATCAATGCATATATATATGCATATATATATATATATATATATATATATATATATATATATATATAATTGTTTAAATGATGTACATGATAGCTTAAGGCTATATCATAAGTTATTTATATATTTGACACACACACACACACACACACACACACATATATATATATATATATATATGACTCTGTGTGTGTGTATGTGTCTGTGTGAGTTTATATATGTGTGTTTCCACCATATATATATATATATATATATATATATATATATATATATATATAATTGTTTGAATGATGTATATGATAGCAATTATTAGGAGGATAAATATAATTATCAAATCCTCCTAATAATTTCTATCATGTACATCATTGCTTGAACTGGCTTCTAATGCACTAGAGTGAGCGGCTTGGTGAGAGTAGTCGTGGCTCCAGGTGGCACAGTCCTATGTTGAGAGAGAACTCAGTTGAGTTCCACCACGGAATATGTGAGAGAGCGGCACTTTGTTGAGTTTGATTTGCAATCTATTTGTTACCGAGGCCCAGTGGAGCAGTTGGTATGATGCTTGCTTGACAACCTAACTGTCAGGGTTTCAATTCTCGGTAGTGGATGCGCATTGTTGATGAGTCCCAAATATACGACGAAACGGCCGTCCAGTGTTTTCTGCATTCTGTTGAGATTTCTATCAGATTCAATGAATTACTTAAATATAATTATCAAATGCTCCGTATAATTTCTATCATATATATACATATATGCACACTGCGTGCCAAATTATTATCGAGACAACTTTTTTCTAATATTTCAAAAACCGTCCAATCAATTCACACAAAATTTTCACACAATGTTGGCAACACTGACCTGCGCAATCACTGAAATGTAAACAAACTGGCGCCATATTAGTTATCAGCACGGTGATTTGAGCGTGCGATATTCATGTGATAAAGTGCTCAATATCAGAGATAGAACGTGTGTAAATGTAAAAGGAAACATTGAAGTCAACACTTTCATGCTAGACGCAATCGTCAGATTGTCTCTAGCATGAAACAGACTGTCGCCTCTAAGTGTTGACTTTAATGTTCACTTACACACACACACACACACACACACATATATATATATATATATATATATATATAGATAAATAGATGATTAAAATATAGTTCGAAAAACAAATGTGGCAGAATAAAAACAGATGTAGATGTGTTTTTTTGCCAAATTTTGTTTTCATCCAAGAAAATGTCTATTTCGTCTTTGTCCTTTCTGCTCTGATATGAACGCAATTTTTTTAAAAAGAAGCCCAGTTACGATTTTGCTCGTGTTGTTATTGTTTTCCTTTCTTTGCAGTGATCATCATTTTGGTGGCTATTGTGATTGTTTTGATGATGATTAATATCGTGCTGGTAGCTTTCATCTTTTACAGGTAAATCTGACAAGATTTAATTGTCTTTGATTTATTGGACTAACATCCTGATCATTATACTTGTGTCATTCAAAGCTTTTGCAGGGAATTAGCTTTGGCGGTTAATCAACTATGCAGCTAAACTATAATATGCTTTTCTAATTGTGTGCATTTACGTGTGTGTTTGTAGGTATGTATATATGTGTGTATGTACGTGTGTTTGCAGAAATGGATAACTCATTTTTTGTTTTGATAAAGAAGATTTGAGATTCCACGTGAGATGACATTCTCATTTTAGCAGTTTAATGAACTGATATCTTCTAAAAGAATATATGGATAAATGGAGATTGCCACACCTTACTCAGTTGAGAGCCAAATTCTCACCCTTCTCATCATTTGTGAGGCTTCCGTCTCATTTCTACATCCATGCTCTCCAAGGTGAATCTTTAGACCAGCATTGGATTTCATATGTATCATGCCTATATGAAGAATAATTCTGTATCCTTGATTGGGTTGATTGGATCTGCATGGCCTACAACTCTCGTGTGGAGGACATCAATGTGCAATCTAGATGATCATCTGCAAACATTGTTGCAAAACAAGCAGGTTTTGTTGGCAGGACGACAATGAAGGTTTGCATAATGGGCGAAAAAATTTATGGGTTAATGTGCCCAATATCAAGAATAGAGAATATTTTATCTCAAGCTCTATTTGTGTTACTTTTATATATATATATATATATATATATATATATATATATATATATATATATATCAAAGAAAAACAGACCGCTTTAAGGTTCCATTATAATAATTTATTTCACCAGAGCCCTTTTAAAGGGCTCCGGATCATCAGATAGCAATTCTGAATATGAACTGAAAAATGAAATGAAAATTGATGGGTAGTGTAAGTTTTTGTAATTTAACCGAGAGTGTAATAGGAGTTGTTAGGGTGACATGGTAGAGTTCCGGGATGGTTTACATGTCTACCAATTCCCGGTATGCTCCATCATATTGAAACGCTTGTTTGTCAAAAAAAAAATTCCATAACTACAACGGAAAAATTTTAAAATTCTAAAATAACTATGACACGTTCAGATGTGTTTTTAAAGTCACTATCGAAACTGAATGCAGATTTTGTCACATGACAATAAGTTTGTCTTTGTAATTTACCTCTGAAGATGATCCTAGAAAAGGTCAAAATTAGTTGGGTGAAAAAAATACTTCCATGATAAATTTCATCTTAACATCAAGAAACTCATTAGACAACAGGAAAAGATCAATATAAAAATACGTAGACATAATATGTCAATGTTATTCAATGAAAACTGTTTGAGTGAAGATATGCTACCTAAATACATACATATATATATATATATATATATATATATATATATATATATATATATATATATATAAACCTAAGGAGCCAGGCAAACCTACCTAGGTTTCATCTAAACAAATCGTCAGGATAATGCTGTGCAAAAGGGAAAAATATGGAACAGAATATATAGCTTAAACCAAAAACATCCATGACCACGTGACAAAAAAAAAAAAACAACAAAAAAACTAATAAAAACTGAACAACAGGGGTTTAGGGGTTAGGTTCTTTATTCAATAACGAAAATAAAAAACAATAGTTGCCTTTACTCGTTTTGGATGTTTTTTTTTATTTGGACACTAAGCTTGAACTCTGGATGATTGTTTTCGCCTCAGTTTTATCTTGTTTTGTTCTTCTACAAGCCGAAATAGCCAAGAATAGTAAGATATATAATCCGGTGTTCTTATAGATATTTTTATTTTTACAAAATAGTGCTGAATGTAAATTTACAGAGCATTAATATTATAAATTAATTGATTTAAAATATGGTTTTTCCGCTACACAGTTCTAACCATGTTTCAAAAATGGAAGGTCCAAATTTGTAATTAAATTAAAGACATTAGTTCCATTTCATCCTCAGGCGAATTTTGGAGTAACTTATAAAATTACTGGGTTTTAAAGTCAGCAAAAATCATAATTTACGTTTCCAAAGAAAAAAAGTAGACGTTCATAAAAAGTTCTGGTATTTTTTGCTGTTGTTTTTGTTGCCTCAACAATGTTTCCCCGATTTGTTGTTGGAGTTTTTGTTCTTGATGTTATTTTATTATTTCCAAGAAAACTGCATTTAATTCTTCCTTTTTTTAATTCTTTGACGTTCAATGTGAATTTCAGATGTTTTAATGTTCCGTTGAGTCTGGCGTAAAATTTTATTCGTCGTATTGATTTCACAAGTTTAAGAAAAAACGAAACTTTGTCCACCACTATTGACTAGTGAATCATCCTCGTCGCCAACTGTTGTTATGTGGAGCCTTACAAGACACAACACTTAACTCGAAAGAGTCGTGATAGTAATATTCGACGCTCAGCTAGACAAGTCACTGCAATAGTATTATTTTCTGTTCTCTAGACAATTACCCAGGACTACTTATCATGAATGAATCAGCCTATTCAAGATTTTAAGGAGGGTTACTGGCTCTTGCCACAACAAAAATTAAAAAACACGCTGTCAACTCAAACATGTGTATCTATAAAATAATATTTGAAGCAGTAGGATATATATATATATATATATATATATATATATATATATATATATATATGCAATTATCTTATGATGATTTTTTGTTCTAATCTTTTGCAGACAGAAAGCAAACAAGACCACAAAAGCTGTAACTACCAATAGCACGTATGAAATTCCGTTGAATGAAAATGATACAAACGACTTAAATACTTATGAAAACCTAAACTGAAGAGAAGTTGATGGCTACAATTATAATGTAACTCAAGTGGTTTTGGAAAAAATGTCCACATCTATTCAAATCAAATATGAAAATCTTTTTATTCAAACTTACAAATTGAGTTGTTTTCAGTCTAAACAAAATTTCACAACTTTTATAAATTCGGTTCATTTCCTTTTTATGAAAAGTTGTGTAAGGAAGAAAAAAAGAATTGTTGTCAAATGAGAAGGCATTTTCTAATTTATCTACTGTTAAAATCATTTCTCCTCAAATTTTTCCTTCTTTCTGTTTTTGCATCTAAGTGTTTCAGTCTGTTTATATCATGTTAAAATTTCATTTCATTTTTCGTTCTGAGTGAATATCAGCTCTCAGTAGTTTGGGGGAAAGGATGAAGGTAATAAAATAATTACTGAAACCTGCACCTTTTCAGCCTGCGTTCAAAGATCCTTCACCAAGGAATGGAGGGAGATCAACGGAAGGTGAAGGAAATTCAAAATTGTTTTAATAAACGCGATTTTTTGAACCCCCCTTTATTGTCCATTCTTTCTTATAATTTCCATTGTAGACGCGAGCATTTTCCGTGTCCATGTCTCTTGTTATTTGATTGATATTAATTGTAAAATTTATCTTTTCCCCTCAACTACCATTAACCTTATTTAAGAAAAAAATAATTACTTGCCCAGAAATTAGTTATCCTCTTTTCCTGGACGCTCAAATTCGCAAATGTCTGCATACCTAATGTCTAATAAAATTTTATTTTATTTTAATAAAATTGTTTTGGTTTTATATCTCACTGAGTATCTCTCATTTATTTTTACGATGCGTCTTGTTGTCACTTGATCTCCATTCTCTACATTCTCCAATCTCTTTTAACCGATTCCACAAAAATATACATTAATAGTTCCTTTTCCCTAGTTTTTGTTCATAATCTATAAGTCTCATCATTTTAATGTTGAAATAGCTAGATGCCACCATAAAAAACTATACTAACAGTTTCACCTCTTGCATTTGTTCGCGTGTGGGACTCGCTTCCGGCTCCTTGCTTTCCAGGCAACATTGATCTTCAAAAACTGAAATGCAATGTCAATCGTTTTGTTCTGTCTTTTTAATTTCTCTCCTTTTATTGTACTTTCTACTGAATAATGTTTTTCTTTTTCTCATATTTTCTCACTATGAATAAACCCTTGGGTTTTAGTGGATTTATTGCCTTGCTTGGGGAATGATTAAACAATAAACATTGTTGAAAATGAAATAACACCAATGTTTAATGAGCTGACACATTTTTATAAATGTATTTATTAGTAAAAAATAAGTTAATTTTTGATCATACGAGATGATTTTTTTTAAATTCAGGCAATTCACGAGGGGAAATAAAAAGTGTTGGTCTTGACCTGTACAAACCCCTTGAAAAAATATTTAAACCAATCCACTCGTGCACATACTGTCAAAGCAAGCACAATCATTCCTTGAGATGGATAGTAATGACTATTCTAACTGATTATAAATGCAATTGTTTTACCCTAAATCGTTTCTCTATTAGTCCAGACCCTCACTGAAAAGCAAAAGGCTGGAAGATAATTATACAAGTAAGAAGTGCGAGAGAAGAAAATTGGATGAACGTTCATACGAAGTCCAGACAGCGAGTGGGAGGTATCAGCGAGACAGACGTCATCTGCGCAAATCTTCTGAACCAGTAGAGCATGCAAGCCGGCACCATCCTCTACCGACACAGTACGTTTGCCACATGACATGGCAGAAACTCAAAGAGACTCTGCAGTTCGAACAATAATCTCATCAGTCTCAGCTGTTGCGAGCGACAGCCAGCGTATCTGATGGATTTTGTCAAACTGATCAAGTCCAGTCGACAGCGGCTAGTTTAAATAACGAATCCAAGAGGGCCTTTGTCTGAGTGGAAAGATCCCTTTCCAGTTTCCGCCTGACAGACCTTTTCACCTTTGGGGGAAAGTCTCTTTTTCGTTATTCTTTGCCTGGGCTGGAAGTGGTGGATGTGGATTGGGACGGAGCCCTAGAAAGGGAAGGGGAAGGCTCTTTGATTTGGGGTGGTATCTTTAATTTTTGCTGGCGAAGACGAGTAGAATTGGGACTTGGTTTTCTCCATGCCATTCCCCGCCCCACTTTGCCCATCCCTCTTCTTCATCTTTGTAATTTCTTCCTCCCTTTTCATCCTCTTTTTCTCCCTCTTCAAGGAGAAGGACCTATATGGAGGCATTTCATCCACCGCCATATTAGAATCCGCATGTTGTTGTTTTTGCTGTTGCTGCTTTTGTCGTTGTTGCTTTTGTTTTTGTTGCTGTTGTTGCTTTTTCTGTTGTTTTGCTGTTGACATTGCTTTTGTCCATCTTAATAATCCCATGTGTTGTTTATTATGGTAATTTCATTGAATTGATTATCAGTTTGCATTTGACTGTAGATATATTTTAAATCAATTTTTACACAATATTTAATGCCCGAGTGATTGAACCTGACACTTCCTCTTTAAGTTCAGCGCAGTGGTTCTGGGAGATTATTCCTACAGAACTGGATTTTGGTTAATATTAATTTCAGGTTTTATAAAGTAGGGAGGAAATGAGAGATTTGTAAATGTGTTCTTTGTGATTTTGTATATTATTGAGTTGACGAAAAAAAAGGAAATATTAACAAACGTAATAACATTTAGATGTCAACATGTGTGCGACATTGAAGTCTTTATTGCAATTAGGAAATACAATGATTATCGATAAAAATATTTTTGGAAAACATCGCCCCACCAAAAAAGAAAAAAAATGTTTCTTTACACACAGTGTCATTATATTTGGCAAAAACCCGGATGCGAATGACTTAACTACGCATCCTGTTTAAACCTAAGTATCAAAAAATCAAAAGCAGTTTTATTGGCCACTCGTCAGATATTTGACATCATTTCAGATTTTAATTCTCTCATGTTCACAAGTCACAATGAATTTATACATCCTAATTTTGGCCTTTTCGATTGTGGAAGCTTATTTCTGTGAGTATCTCATTCTTTTTCACACATTTTCTCCTCCGGGATAACTTTTACCTTGAGAATGTTGGCGGAACGTAAAGTTAATTTTTTGGGGGCTTTGTGGAAATTGTCTTTGTCCAGTTTATTTAAAACTACCATGGTTGAGTAAGAGTAGTCAGACACTTGGCAATGGATTGTCGGCTTTTGTGACTTATAGCTTTTCTACTGTCAAGATGTATGTTCTCTTTGATACTATTCCGCTGTTCCCATCTTTCGTTAAAGATGGTTTACGAACTTACAAAGCAGTTCTGTTATTTACCAATTTAAATGTCAATGTGAGCCTGATTATGTGGGGCGAACATCATTTTTCTGTTTCTTAATATTTTGCTTAGCGTTTGGAATCTGTTCCAATGAATCTTCGGATTTCAAAACTAGACAAAGAGAGAGATAGAGATAGAGAAAGAGAGATAGAGAGAGTGAGGGAGCGAGAGAGAGAGGGAGGGAGAGAGTGAGAGTTTAAAACACTTCTCTTTCTTGGATTGTTGAGACAAAATTCTTTGAAGTGTCACGAGATTAGATTGGTTAAAGGTCGATAAGATAACTGACAAATAATTTGATACTGGCAAGAAATTGGACGCTGGTCGCGAGTAACTGAAACGTTACCTTTCACATAACTTCAGACAATCTTCTTTTGCTAATTTAATTTTTCTCCTCATTTTACATCAAAATGATTTGTGCATAGGTCCGCTACTTTCTTTTCTTTCTTCTTGATTCAACGGCTAATTTATATGAAGACAATGGCCTTATTGGTCCAAAAACAATTTCACATAGGCTCGTGAATTTATTTCTGTTTTCTTTCAGCTGACCGGTCATTTTTTTGTGAAGGCAAGATTTTCATTGGTCCAAAGAAAATTTCAGAAGGGTTTCGCGAATTCCTTTCCGTGTTTTTCTCAGTCGCCGAATTTGAATGTAGTGGCTAAAAGAAGTTATTATTATTTCGTACTCACTGCATTTTATCCTAAATGTAATGTTTGTATATTTATCTAATCCAAACGATATACCTATATGATCAACTATTTTATTAATGTATGTATCAGTATGATGTAAGGGTTAGAAAGATTGACTCTCTCACTAATGTTTTTCAATTTTCTCATGACTAAATAAATTCTAGCATCCAGTCAGATGTAGTTTCTAAATAGTTTTTAAACCAATAATCATTGTTTTGTAGGTCAACTCAGATTGGATTAAACCCCTACAACCATTACTTCCGGTAATATAAAGATGGTCAATATCCGCATTTGGACGGTACATCTTATGGCAAATCAGTAATTGTTTTAATCTATTTTCTTTATTTCAGTTATAGCCCAGTTGATAATATTGAAGCTATGAATACCAAATTGTATTGTCTTGTGAATTTATAGCCATAATCTGATTAGAAGAATTGAATTCACTTTGTAGTATTGTTCTTATTCTTCTGTAGAACTCCTTTGTAAACTTTTTCTTTTTTTTCCACATTCTTTATGGCATCTGCCACTTGGATTCCTGGATATTTGTAAGTCTCGTCCCGGCCAAGCGCCTTTCTTGTGATATCAGTCATTTTGTATGTTATTGTTATCTTCACAAACTGACCATAACTTGGTCAAATATGTCTCAACTAAACTACATTGCTGTGTCATCATTGAACTTCTTGACTATGTTTGAAAGACTCACTAAAACTTCGTCCTTTTTTTATATCTACTTTCAAGGCATCGAAAAGAAGAGGTGATTTATTTCCTTTCCAGAAATTTTATATTCTTACCCCGTCTTATCAAGTTCAATAGAAAGAAAAATAAGAGACTTTTTAAAAAAGTCATTTCATCTCAAGCAAGGCGATAAAGCCACTAAGGTGTAAGAATTTACTGAGAATGAAGGAAACTGAGAAAATGAGGAGAATGGACAATAAAAGAACAGATTTCACATAGATAGAAGATGGCGATTGAGGTTTCATTTACATTTCTCAAAAGCATTGTTCACAGCAAAACAAGAAGCGGGAAGATATTTCCACAAGCAAGAAGTGTAAGGGGAAAAACTGTTAAATGTTGACGAAAAAAGTAAAGAAAGTGAGTCGCTTTGAAAAAACAGAGAATGGCACAAACTACTTGGCACCTGTGCTCCGGCCCTGTGTTGGTGGTATCATGGGTATGACTAGCTTGAACCTGCTCTGGACTGGACCAGCTATGACAAGTCAAGACCAGCTATGACTAGCTTAGACCAGCTCTGACCAGCTTGGATAAACTATGACCATTCAAGACCAGCTAAGACCAGCTTAGACCAGTGGCTCGAGTGTTTTCACTCAGGTTCCCTACGTTAAAAACCGATCTTGTATCACATCCTGTCTCAGTGTGACGTCAAGTACTAGGGAAGAATTTGAACTCAGTTTTTCGAGTTAACTTTCTAAATTGATGTCCCTTATTCTGTCTGAACGTTAGGTCCAATTAGATGTCTATATTAGTTACACTAACCTAATACGAATGAAAAATAACAAAAAAAGTCTTCCAAATAGGAAAATTATAAGCACTCCCTCGAAAACAATCAAAGATTTGGTCAGAAAAAGTATAGAATTGACAATAAATCGGAAGCTGAGATTTATAAGATAGGCTGCTTGAAAGGCGATAAGAAAAATATAGGCGCAACATCTCGAAAGAGCTGCATATGTGCACACATCGGGAGAATCCATTAAATTCTTTCTTTCCTTTTACCATGAACATTCCAGGAAATTGGCAATCATGGTTCTCCACAATTTATTTTACTTTTTTAATTCTTGGTCATTTTTGTAGTCTTGCTACATCTCCTAAACCATGTTCTACCATCCATGGACGCAAGCTAGTTAGGTAATCTATGCACTATTTGCCTATCCTTTCTTTATTCTAATATATCTTGTGAGTATCAAATTTTCTAAGCCTTCTTTCATCATTCTGTGTCCTATTAATTTCAACAGTCTCTTCTATTATGTTTCATTATATCCTTTTCATTTCCATTTTTTCTCGTGTTGCTCACATGTTTGGTTCAGCATCTCTTCTGTAGAACCACATTTCAATTGCTTCAAGTCTCTTCATCTGTGAGGAGATTTTACTGCCACATAGGAGAACTGGTATTACATAAGAGTTCAGTAATCTGTTCTTTTTTGTGTGACGGCATACCATCTTTCGAATCTTTATTTAAATATATTTTACAAGCATACTGGCTACGTCAAGTACCGACGAGCAAAAAAAAAAAAAAAAGCAAAAAAAGAAATACATTTTTGCAATTTCATTTTTCTTATTTCACTTCGTGAGTGAAAGCGTATAATTAACAATCAAGATATAGACACGAGCAAAGACCTTATTTCTCAATATTCCCCAATTTTCCTTCCCGTTAAAATCCACTATGTATCCATTTTGCGTCTGCGATAAATCCATTGTGAGCTTCGAGGTTAGCCTATCAGCTGGTATTTATTGTATATAAAAATACAATTATGGCACAAGGCCGAAAAAAGGGAGGGATTCAGACTGGTCTTCACTAACTATCTTTTACCTAACTAATCCGATTCACGACCCATTCACTCATTAAAATTTGCACATTGACCACAAAAATTCGTCCGTCACTGATCAATCCTCCATACAGCGTAATACGACATCCTCCCAAGAGGGACCTACAAAACCCTCCCCATGTCTTAAAAATTTAATGATAATAAATCATTATATATACAATTCTAAAGATGAAGAATGAGAGGGAAGGGAGATGAGCCCAGTAACAAACTAAACATGAATACAAAGTTTGTCTCCCATATCGCTAAAAAAAGTGGTATACCCTGGTGAAAAAAGGTCCCCAAATTGATAAAACAATTTTTAACGTGTAAATGTTTATGTTAGTATTAAAGAGGAAAGACCAAAGTATTTTCTGAATATTTTTTCAGATTTTTAGATCCTTCCTTTAATTCGAAAAATTTTATTTAAAAATTTTGTTTTTCTTGATTCAAAAAATTTTGTAAATTCGTCCTTATCGGGCTTTTTGTCTGACTTTGTAAACAAAATCAAAATTAGTTAGTTTTAAAATCCTGTAAAATTCAGTTACACCCTTTTCTTTTGTTATTTTAGGAAAATTAGAAAATTTAAAGTATACTTAATGTAATTTGAAAGAAACATTACTTACTTTTTTTATGAGAAAATTTTTTAAGAGAGACATTTCCAACTGTGATGCTTGCTTTTGCGCGTGTTTGAGAGATGTTAACTGATGTACGTCAATATATCGACAACTTACGCCAGGAGAATTTATCGGACGATAGGGCAGAAGTGATATGTTTCGTTCTAGTTTTAAGTGAACCTGGTTAGTGTATAAAATACTCTTTCAATTTTTTTTTTTTTTTACCTTACGTTTGCGGTTTGAGGGAGAGGGATATTAACCATTTTTATTTTTGGAAAATCAGAAATCCTAAATCCTAATCAAACTATATATCAGGCATTAAAATTGAGTTTGAAAGGAAACAACTTTCCTAGGGGGACAAAATGCAACAAAGTTCATTGGTAATTTCAATTATATGGCCGCGGCGGGGTGGGGGATGAGTAAAAAAACTTGACACCCGGCCGCGGAAATCTTTAGTAAAAGGCGTAAGTTTTATCTGCAATTCTTAACCACCAGAAACCAGAAGTGTCATTTTTTAGTAGTGATAAGGATAGAATCTTCAGAGTCTTGTGCATTTAATTAAAAAAAATCAGGTTGCAAAAATAAACTTTTGAAGTTTTCAGAAAATTGAGTTCGAGGGGTGTAACAGATATAAAAAAAAATATTTATACCATGAGTGTCAAAAAGTCAAACATTTCTAAAATAATTTAATTCATTTTTGAATAAGTTCTGAAGGTTTCATTGAAATCCAACAAATACTTGATTTTTGCAAGATTTTCCAAATCAATGTGTTTTTCAACTGAAAATAGTGAAAAACAAGTAATGCTAATATTACCTAATTTTTGACCTAAGAAAAACAAGATTTTCAACTTAAATTTAAAATATGCTGCAAATGAAAAAATTTTTTTTTTAAAATAATTAAAAACTACCTTGGTCTTTCCTCTTAATAATAACATAAACTTTTTCACGATAAAATTTTGCTTTTATTAAGTTTGGGGCCTTTTTTTTTCATACTATGCGTTTTTGAGCAAAGAGACGGGCAGTACTAAAACATAACTGATGTTAGTAGGGCACGTCCAACACTCAAGAAAGAGAGGCTGCTGTATGTTCTGCCCATTGGACACAATCAAGAGGCTCTCTCGCTAAGGGAGCGGGAAAGGAGAAAATTTGAGCTGCGTCCACGCAAAATGATCGCCCACGCCAAATTTATCATGTGACCGGCGTCCATATATTCCCCATTATTATTATTATTATTATTATTATTATTATTATTATTATTATTATTATTACGCTAAAGCCCCCGTAGTCCCAACGAACGCTTGTGTGTAACATTTGTTAAACAAAGTTTTTCACTCTCTCTTAATGTTTTACACAGATTTTGGAATATAACACCTTCGGATTTCAGTGGCATAATATGCAGAAAACTTTTTGATTTTCTTCACTAATTTTCTTTCACTCATTTTCTTACTATTTTCTCTTTCACTTATTTTCTTCTTATAATTTCTCTTTCAATAATTTCCTTTCCTTATTTTCTCTTTCACTCATTTTCTTCTCTTTCATTGATTTTCTACTCTGATTTTGTCTTCCACTTATTTTTTAGCTTTTTTCTCTTTCACTCATTTTCTTCTTTTATTTTCTCTTTCATCTTATTTCCTTCGCTTATTTCTCGTTTTCTTTTTCACTTGTTTTCATCGCTTATTTTCTTTCTCTTATATTCTCCTTCACTTTTCTCTTTCACTCATTTTCTTCTCCTATTTTTCTCTTTTTCTCCCTCACCTATTTTCTCTTTCACTCATTTTCTTCTATTTTCTATCTCACTTACCTTCTCTTATTTTCTCTTCCATTTAATTTTCTTCTCATATTTTTCCCGAAGAAATAAATGTATCTTTTCTTCCCCAAATCCTAAAGAATATTTAATTTTATTTTTCTTGTCAGATGAAAGATTTATAAAAACCGCAAATGGACCGAAAACAATTCATTGTGATCACAATTCTTTCTTTTTCACAAATGCTACAAAATACATGCGTTCTTGTAATGATCAAAGTTCTTGTCAGATCCGTTCACGCCATTATGTAAATTATGTTTGCATAAAACGTAAGTATGTTTTTCTTTAAACTCCACTCATGCCACTGACATAGACATTTCTTCAATGGAAAATGAAAATATTTTATTGTTTTTTAGTTTGAAATTTGTCTTCTTTTGTGGTGATAAAAGATATTTTTACCATGAAATTACCGATAAAACTTTTTTAAAGAAGATAAAAAACATTAATTTTTATTTGTTGGAAGAAAACCATTTATTTTATGTTCTTAAATATATTTTATTTGTTTAAAATACAAATATCAACGGCAGATATTTTTGCTTTTTGCAGAATTCTAAAATTGCAACATAATAAAAAAAATAAAAATGAAACAATATATTAAGGCGTAAAATAAAGAAAACATTTATTTGATATTTTCTGTTTATACAGTCCGAACTATTTAATCAAACACACTTGGGACCAGAACATTACCAGGCTACAGAAAATCCTGAATGACATAACTTACTCTTAAAAAACAGCCCTTTTTGTTTCATTCAATACAAAGTCTAAAATAAAAAGAAGCCTAAAACCATAATTAATTTATACTTATTATACTGAATGCAGTTATATACAAGAAATGATTAAGACCATGTCATAAAAAATCTGCTGCTGTTTAGTGGGTAAACTACGCGTGACAGTGCATTTGTAGCTGCTCATTGAAGTAATGGTGGCTGATACATTTTTTGTGCTGAAACGGGAGTTACCGGACAACGCAGTATCAGATTAAAGAGGTCGGACTGGAATGTCATATTGAAGGTTGTTGGTGTTCATAATATTTTTGAAGTTTTATTTATTTATATTTTACAGGAAAATTTGAAAAATCAACCTGCACTCAATTGACACATCACAATCCAAATGTTAATCAAACTGGCTGCTACATTGGGAATTTTACTCGAACTTTTGAAATCAGTCTTCCAAAAACTGGCAGTAAAATATTCCATGTTTTTGTACTTTATAAGTATGTTCTCTATGCGGATAAATCGAATAAGAATATTATATTGCCGTGTTCTGCATTTTGCTATTATAAATGCAGATCTCCATGTCGATTAAATATCGATGGAGATTCTAGGATCCTTTTTAAAGGTAAAATCTCCATTTTCTTTTTTCCAAGTTTAAATTATTACAAAAATATTGTAATACATTTTTTATTATCAGTTTTGCTAAAAGAATGATTAAGAATAATTGTTCATTTTATGCATAGCAGGCCACCATTTGCATTTTTCAAGTGTTGGGTTCTGCTGCTTCATGAAATACTTACAAACAACTAGAACAGCATATTTCAGGGAATGAGAATTTTATTCACAAGTTGGATACAATGTCATGGATAATCCTTTAGATAGTGCTTTCTAAGGGGGTACAGGCTTGAATCCAGGAAAGATTGTAGATTACTGATTTTTTTGTTGTAGATTACTGATTTTTTTGTCGTTAGTTTCACATCATCTTCACTTATGTTATAAGCTAGAAAGTCTAAGGACTTCACATTAGATTCACATTTAGAAACAAACAATTTAAGGTTATTTTTATTTAAGATGTTGAAAACAGCATCTATATCTTGCATGTGTGATTGTTCATTATTACTGAAGATTAATATGTCCTCCATATAGATGAGAACACAGATTGGCAAATATTTTGAAATCATTGCAGCATTTTTAAATCCAAAAGGTGTTTTATCACTTGCTGTTCAAATGGGCTTCTTACCAGTTCTTTGTGTATTTAAAAACAGCATTCATTAGTCAAGACTATTATATTCGTGTCATTGGGGACTCTAGGTCATCAATGTTTGTCAGGTTTATTACAATCTTTAAGTTTAAAATATATTATTGGTATAATTTAGATGCTAAAATGATTCCTTTAGTCTAACTAAAATATATAATTTTTAATATCTTCAGCTATATATATGTTTTTTTTTTAAATAACATGTATTTATCATGAGTGTGTATTTGTATATATGTCTATATGTTTATGTATCTCCGTCTGTGAATTTTAGTTTAATTTATTATACGTTTATGTACAGTACTGCTGACTGATATCATATTTCCTCAACACTACTCCAGTCACGCAACAGACCCCAGACCTGCAGTTTACTAGATAAGGCTGTCACTGATTTTTAATTTTCGCTAACATTAAGTCGGGCTAAATTAAATTTAGCCATTTCAATTGATACATTATGCTAAAAACTTTATACTGTATGAAATAAATTAACTAAATGGATATTTGAAAACAATAAGTTGAAATAAAAGACTATTCTTTGAAAAAGCAGGGCATACAAGTCATTAGAGATTTTAAAAAGATTATTTATGAAATTAAATCTTATAATTTCTCTTTCAATAATTTCCTTCCCTTATTTTCTCTTTCACTCATTTTTCTTCTCTTTCATTGATTTTCTACTCTGATTTTGTCTTCCACTTATTAAGACACTTTTTTTCTCTTTCACTCATTTTCTTCTTTTATTTTCTCGTTCGCTTATTTCCTTCGCTTATTTCTCGTTTTCTTTTCACTTGTTTTCATCGCTTATCTTCTTCTTTTATATTCTCTTTCACTTTTCTCTTTCCTCATTTTCTTCTCCTATTTTCTCTCTCAACAAACCTTTTCTCTTATTTTCTCTTTCATTCTTTATTCTATTTTTTTCTTTCGTTCATTTTCTTCTCTTTTTTTCTCCTTCACTTATTTTCTCTTCCTCTTCTTTTATTTTCTCTTTCACTTATTTTCTTCTTTTATTTCTTCCTTCATTCATTTTTTCTCTTTTTCTCCCTCACTTTTTTCTCTTTCACTCATTTTCTTCTATTTTCTCTCTCACTTACTTTCTCTTATTTTCTCCTTCATTTAATTTTCTTCTCTTATTTTTCCCGAAGAAATAAATTTATCTTTCCTTCTCCAAATCCTAAAGAATATTTTATTTTATTTTTCTTGTCAGATGAAAGATTTATAAAAACCGCAAATGGACCGAAAACAATTCATTGTGATCAGAATTCTTTCTTTTTCACAAATGATACAAAATACATGCGTTCTTGTAATGATCAAAGTTCTTGTCAGATCCGTTCACGCCATTATGTAAATTATGTTTGCATAAAACGTAAGTATGTTTTTCTTTAAACTCCACTCATGCCACTGACATAGATATTACTTCAATGGAAAATGAAAATATTTTATTGTTTTTTAGTTTGAAATTTGTTTTTCTTTATGGTGATAAAAATATATTATCCCTGAAATTAAAAATAAAATCATTTTTCAAGAAAATTAAAAAAAAATGATTTATTTAAAGAAAACCATTTATTTTATGTTCTTAAATTTATTTTATTTGTTCAAAATACAAATATCAACAGCAAATATTTTTGCAGAATTCTAAAATTACAACATAATAAAAAAAAAAAAAAAATGAAACAATATATTAAGGCATAAAATAAAGAAAACATTTATTTGATATTTTCTGCTTATACAGTCCGAACTATTTAATCCAACACACTTGGGACCAGACCATTGCCAGGCTACAGAAAATCCTGAAGACATAATTTACTCTTAAAAACAGCCCTATGTAAACATGAGACTCATCTCATATACATATTGTTGTGTTATCAAAGGTAGAACATAGCTTAAATCAGGAAATTAAACAATCCTTAATGTTTGCAAATAAGGCTTTTTGTTTCATTCAATACAAAGTCTAAAATAAAACGAAGCCTAAAACCATAATTAATTTATACTTATTATACTGAATGCAGTTATATACAAGAAATGATTAAGACCATGTCATAAAAACTCTGCTGCTGTTTGTTGTGTAAACTACGCGTGACAGTGCACTTGTAGCTGCTCATTGAAGTAATGGTGGCTGATACTTTTTGTGCTGAAACGTGGGAGTTACCGGACAACGCAGTATCAGATTAAAGAGGTCGGACTGGAATGTCATATTGAAGGTTGTTGGTGTTCATAATATTTTTGAAGTTTTATTTATTTATATTTTACAGGAAAATTTGAAAAATCAACCTGCACTCAATTGACACGTCACAATCCAAATGTTAATCAAACTGGCTGCTACATTGGGAACTTTGATCGAGATTTTGAAATCAGTCTTCTAAAAACTGGCAGTAAAATATTCCATGTTTTTGTACTTTATAAGTATGTTCTCTATGCGGATAAATCGAATAAGAATATTATGTTGCCGTGTTCTGCATTTTGCTATTATAAATGCAGATCTCCATGTCGAATTATTATCGATGAAGATTCTAGGATCCTTTTTAAAGGTAAAATTTCCATTTTCTTTTTTCCAATTTTAAATTATTACAAAAATATTGTAATACATTTTTTACTATCAGTTTTGCTAAAAGAATGATTAAGAATAATTGTTCATTTTATGCATAGCAGGCCACCATTTGCATTTTTCAAGTGTTGGGTTCTGATGCTTCATGAAATACTTACAAACAACTAGAAGAGCATATTTCAGGGAATGAGAGCTTTATTCACAAGTTGGATACAATGTTATGGATAATCCTTTAGATACTGCTTTCTAAGGGGGTGCAGGCTTGAATCCAGGAAAGATTGTAGATTACTGATTTTTTTGTCGTTAGTTTCACATCATCTTCACTTATGTTATAAGCTAGAAAGTCTAGGGACTTCACATTAGATTCACATTTAGAAACAAAGACTTTAAGGTTACTTTTAAGATTTTGAAAACATCATCTATATCTTGCATGTGTGATTGTTCATTATTACTGAAGATTAATATGTCCTCCATATAGATGAGAACACAGATTGGCAAATATTTTGAAATCATTGCAGCATTTTTAAATCCAAAAGGTGTTTTATCACTTGCTGTTCAAATGGGCTTCTTACCAGTTCTTTGTGTATTTAAAAACAGCATTCATTAGTCAAGACTATTATATTCGTGCCATTGGGGACTCCAGGTCATCAATGTTTGTCAGGTTTATTACAATCTTTAACAAAATATATTATTGTTATAATTTAGATGCTAAAATGATTCCTTTAGTCTAACTAAAATATATAATTTTTAATATCTTCAGCTATATATGTTTTTTTAAATAACATGTGTATTTATCATGAGTGTGTATTTGTATATATGTCTATATGTTTATGTATCTCTCCGTCTGTGAATTTTTAGTTTAATTTATTATACGTTTATGTACAGTACTGCTGACTGATATCATATTTCCTCAACACTACTCCAGTCACGCAACAGACCCCAGACCTGCAGTTTACTAGATAAGGCTGTCACTTTCTTTAATTTTCGCCAACTTAAGTCGGGCTAAATTAAATTTAGCCACATTTCAATTGATACATTATGCTAAAACCTTTATACTGTATGAAATAAATTAACTACAATGGATATTTGAAAACAATAAGTTGAAATAAAAGACTATTCTTTGAAAAGCAGTGCATACAAGTCATTAGAGATTTTAAAAAGATTATTTATGAAATTAAATGTATAAATACATTGCCTATTAAATGTTTCAAGCTCAGATAGTGCCCAGATGTATGCAGCCTGACAAGCCACCTTAATTTTATTAAAATTCTTTATTACTTTCTTTCTGTTTTTTCATTCTTTCTTCTTCGTTATTATGATCAATATCAACGAAATGTATTTTGGTTATTATTTGTTCATATATTACCTACCTAGCTTTGTTACATGTTACAAGATCAAAAAGCTCGTCCCTCCTCATGGGTAGATAAATTAGGGCCCCATTGACAATGTCCTATGCAACCAACGATATACTATTGTATAAAAAGAATAATAAATCTAATCTACAAGAGACCAATCTTTCATCGCAGGGCCTTTTTTTTCAGACAAACAATACAGCTTTCGTTTCTTCAGTTAACTTGTGTTTAACCTCTTCTTCTACGTCTTTTTGTTCGACTTACTAATTTTTTTTTATCTCGAACAATATACTGTTCAACATGGAATCTCAATTTCTCTCGTCAAATAATATGTCTATCGACAAATATCATATAATCCTCTATCAGTTTCGACCCAATGTAAGAAAGTATCTTCAGATTTTACCTCCTCTTTCAATCCCTGGACATTGTTTACTTGGAACCAGTGGTAACAGAGTAAGCAATACCTGAGCAGGACTAAAAAGCGAAAAATAAATAAAAGAAAGACATCCCTAGACATTGGCAATGGTATAGGGTCCAACTGCATAGATTAAAGAAAGATTTCAGTTCAAAATTTCCTGTAGGTTATCTGGATTTAATGTACACCTGATTTGCTCTGAAAACAAAAAAAATAATGAAAAAAAAACTTGTAAGTAACTGCCATTTGTGTTGTGTGCGAACATTATAGGATAGACATTACATTCAGAGAAAACCCTTGTGTGTGTCAGTGTGCTTGTCACTCTCTCTCTCATTCTCCCTCTCTCTCTTTGTACACATGCACATATATATTTAACAGTGAAAGAGAGAGCGAGAGAGAAATATAGACCGACACACATTGTGTGTGTGTGGGTTTTAACAGTTTTTCATCCATTTCACAGTTTCCGACAAAAGTGAAGAAGATTTCAGAGAATTCTTCATGGAAGATAATCCCAAGACAACATTTGAGAGAAAAGATGAAGGTAAGGATTTGATTCCTTTTTATTCATATATCATAGATATTTCATTAAATCTAAAAGGTAATTAGGATTATGCAAATTATGAAACAATCAACTTAATTGGATTTTTAACCCTATTATTCCCACCAGGAAAAGGAAAAAATAACTTCAAATGTAGTTGTCGTTCAATGATGATCAGGTAAAAGACCAAAGTTTAACAGGGCAGCGACCCTGATTGATTCATACTAGTATATGGAAAGTGGTTAATGAAAGTGGGTATTGAGAGACTTAATAATTCTGAGCAAAGAAGCAGAGATCTTCAAAGGCAAAAACAAAAGCCATTCTCACCAAAATGTAACACTCCATCACACAACCTATGACTTTTGCCACAAGAAAAAGTACTTTACCAATCAATAAAAGTACTTTACCAATCAATAAAAGTAAGTGTAAAATATCTCAATTTCTGGGAACGTATTTTTTAGTTTGTTTTAATTCTTGATAAATAAATTTCTGCCAAAGATGAAGCAAAGAAAGTTTAAGATTATTACAAACTGAAATTGGCACCAAGGTTTTAACCTCACTGTCTTGTGTGTTTTATAAATATTGGAATAAAACCAATTAGGAAGAAAATGACTAAGATTTAATAAGAAAGATTTCGTTCTCTTAAAAATCAAATGGTGGCAAAGATGGTCTTATTCATGGCAGCAACATCAGAATATTGACATTTAATTATAAATTGCAGTATCAGTTGTTTTGCTATTAATTGAATAGAAATAAGCAGTATAATTCCCTTGTAGTGGTTTTCCTTTCCAAATAAACTGTATAATTCAATTTTAGAGGTTTTCATTCCTAAATAAACTGTACAAATAATCTGTAGAGGTTTCAATTGAAACTGACCAATTAATTACTTGGATTCATGTGTAAATGAAGAAAGAGAAAAAAATTAGATTTACTTTTTGTCTTTTCAAAAGATAAAATTCTTTTTGAATTTCCTATTTGAAAAACAGATTGTTTTAATGAATCTTTTCCTGATGATTGTTTCATGTTTGTAGCATTTACAGTTTCAAGTTTGGATCATGGAAACAATTCTTCATCAAAGGAAACACCAAAGAACTGTTTACCTGTTCATAAAGGTAAGTAAAATATTTTAGAATTTTTCTGTTTTGATTGATTTAAATTTCAGAAATATTTTTCATCTGAAAGTTGGCTGAAATTTGAATGCCTTTTCTCAAAGATGTTTTCAGATCCTATTTTCAAAAAATGAGAACATGTTGGCGTATTCAAGTGTGTATGGGTATATAAAAATATCAATGCATTGACATATGACGTCAATGTAATGACATATGACACCAAAGCAATGACATATGACATCAATGCATCGACATATGATATCAATGCAATGACATATGACATCAATACATTGACATATTACATCAATGCATTTATATATGACGTCATTTCATTGACATATGATATCAATGCAATGACATATGACATCAATGCATTGACATATGACATCAATGCAATGCCATATGACGTCAATGCAATGACATATGACATCAATGCATTGAAATATGACGTCAATGCATTGAAATATGACGTCATTTCATTGACATATGATATCAATGCAATGACATATGACATCAATGCATTGACATATGTTCATTTATAAATCTAAGCACGTAGATTGAAAATGGGGTACAAATAATGAACAGAAAAATTTTAATTTTCTCTAGATAGATTGTAGACATTGACAGTATGGACATAGAACTCAACACTGCATGGTCATTGTCAGTATCACACTTAAAGACATATACAACTATATGTCATTACTCCGCGCATGGGCTCCTTATATAGGTCACTGGGCAATTATTGAAATATGAAGAAGGAAGAAACAAGTTTACCCAGATTTTATGCTTAAGGCTATATCATAAGTTATTTATATATGTTGACACACACACACACACACACACACACACACACACATATATATGTGTGTGTGTATGAATGTGTGTTTGTGTGTGTATATATATATACATATATTTGTGTACATGTGTGTTTCATTAAACAATATAGGCACATTGTGTCTAATTATTTTTAGTTGTTTTATACTTAGTATTTTTTAATCCAAGTATATTTCTAAGATCCTCTTCAGGGATAAATTACATGGACAACCATATTGTAACTGTGATAAAATCTGCGTTCCGTTGTGTTTGTCTTGCTTGGAGTGAAATGATTAAAAGGAAAGAATACAGACACACACACACACACACACACACACACACACACATATATATATATATATATATATATATATATATGCAAGAGAGACCAGCTTGTTTTTAAAAAATGTTTAAATATCTTTTTTTTTTTTCTTCCTGGACCCTGTTCATTTATTGTTCTTTTCTCACTTCTCCTCCCTAATGTTTTCTCATTCTCCATTCACTATCTGTCACCTCCTTCATCCTAGTGGCATGATTGTCTTGCATGGAGTGTAACAACTACAAAAATACACACACACACATATATATATATATATATATATATATATATATATATATAGAGAGAGAGAGATAGATAGATAAATAGATAGATAGATAGATAGATAGATAGATAGATAGATGATTAAAATATAGTTCGAGAAACAAATGTGACAGAAAAAGAACAGAAAAGGGTAGATGTGCATTTTTGTCAAATTTTGTTTTCATCCAAGAAAATATCTATTTCGTCTTTGTCCTTTTCTGCTCTGATATGAACGCCATTTTTTAAAAAGAAGCCCAGCTACGATTTTGTTGTTTTTGTTATTGTTTTCTTTTCTTTTCAGTGATCATCATTTTGGTGGCTGTTGTGATTGTTTTGTTGATGATTAATATCGCGCTGGTAGCTTTCATCTTTTACAGGTAAATATGACAAATCTGAAAAAAAAAAAAAATTCCATAACTACAACGGAAAAATTTTAAAATTCTAAAATAACTATGACACGTTCAGATGTGTTTTTAAAGTCACTATCAAAACTGAATGCAGATTTTGTCACATGACAATAAGTTTTTCTTTGTAATTTACCTCTGAAGATGGTCCTAGAAAAGGTCAAAATTAGTTGGGTTAAAAAAATACTTCCATGATAAATTTCCTCTTAACATCAAGAAACTCATTAGACAACAGGAAAGGATCAATATAAGAATACGTAGACATAATATGTCAATGCTATTCAATGAAAACTGTTTGAGTGAAGATATGCTACCTAAATATATATATATATATATATTTAAGATAAACCTAAGGAGCCAGGTAAACCTACCTAAGTTTCACCTAAACAGGTCATCAGGATAATGCTGGCAAAAAGGAAAAAAAAAATGGAACAGAATATATAGGTTAAACCAAAAAGAACCAGGACCACGTGACAAAAAAAAAAAAAAACTAATAAAAACTGAAAAAAAAAAAAAAAAAGAAAACATTAGTTGCCTTTACTCGTTTTGGAGGTTTTTTTTTCTTTGGACACTAAGCTTGAACTCTGGACGATTGTTTTCGCCTCAGTTTTTCTTGTTTTGTTCTTCTACAAGCCGAAATAGCCATGGTTTTTCTATGATTACCACCATTAATATATTTTATAATATATTATATATATATTAATATATATATATATATATATATATATATATATATATATATATATATATGATAGGAGATAAACCTATGAAGCACATCTCACTAAAAAAATCCGGTAGTAAAATTACAAAATGTTTTAATTTATCCAGGCAATATGTTAAAAAATATTTTATATTAAAAAGACCTACTTGGATTATCCTTTCGACGTACGGATTTGATATTATTATCAAATCTAAAATGTTTCACTTTTATTAAAGCTTCGTGAGAGATTAAGATATAGAGAAAAAGAAGAAAGAATTTCTGATATTTTTACTTTTGTGTTGTCTGATTTTCATTGGTCAATCATGTTTCATGTGCCTTCGACTTTTAAAACTAATGTTATTATAATTTGTGGTGTTCTGAATTCAAGGAGAGATGAAGCGTCGACCCAACGTTTGAAGAAATTAATGGATTCCAATCGTACCTGAAAAACTGATGTGGAATTCAGATGATAATGTATATTTGTAATTTGTGTGTACTGAGGAGCTTTAATAAAAGTGAAACATGTTAGATTGATAAACATTTTCTATTTATTCTTTAACTTGGTTTCACCTCCATTTAGATTTTTTAATGAACTTTTGAATGTATGGACAAAGCGTTTTGCTTGCCCATTCAATCTTGGATGATAGAAGGAGTTTTGATATGTTGTATCGCAAAGGTTTTACAAAAACTGTCAAACTCTTTAGTAACGAATTGCATGGCTTTGTCTGAAAAAAATGTTATCCGGGATACCGTATCTAGCAAATAATTCATGCATGAAGTTGAACTCTTGCATTTAGAAACTTTTGACCATGGAAAAGCCGTTGACAACGATTAGATTGTAGACACCATTTATCGGTCCCGTGAAATTGATGTGTAATCTCAACCACGGTGTGTCTGTCTTTATCCAAGGGTGGAATTTAACTGGTTCTTAATTTTCTGCTATGTCACAACCTCTGCTCGCTTTTATCAATCTCTCTATGTCTTTGTCGTTATTGGGCCTGTAGACATAGCTACGCATGATGGATTTCATTCTAGAGATATTTGGATGACCTCTATGAAATTCTTTCAACATCCTTTTCTGGATAGATGCAGGCATTACCACTCTTTCACCAGACATTAAAACCTCATCGTAGATTGAGAAAATATTGTCACCGTCAATTTTAGATTTAATTTCATTTTCCTCCTTCAATTTCCACCTCACTTGCTTATTGTTTATCTAATAAAATTTCTTATTTTAATTTCATTCAGCGTCACTGATAGATCACGTACGGTATTGCAGAGAACATTCATAATTTCAGTGTCAGTTCTTAGCTCTTCAATTATCTTCTATTATTTCGCTAAACTTGAACTTTTCACATTCCCTGTTTACGATACTATCATAAATGGTAAAAGCTTCATATTTTTTCTTACAATATTTACGTATTTGCCAACGTATACTAAACAATGACCTTTGGTCACTGAAATTTTTACGAATACTTTCTTCATAATAGAAATAATAGTTTCTTCAAACACCAATTTACTTGATTTTTTTTTCAGGCTGTAATTCACGTATTTTTTGTGTTCCGTGGGTCCTAACTTTCTTTGTAGAAGGTTCACTTTTTTTCTCGCCCGACCATCTTATACAGTCATTTTTTTAAAAGATTTCCTCATAGCATTTGTAGTATGCTGCAAATGTAACCTCTTCATCAGTTATATTTAAATCCACCAATTGCATTTACTACTGAGTCCTGTAAGAAAAAAGTAGACGTGATTTTTTTTACCTTTACTGTTCATAAAAAGTTTTGATATTTTTTGCTGTTGTTTTTGTTGCCTCAACAATGTTTCCCGGAATTGTTGTTGCTATAGTTGTTGTTTTTGCTGTTATTTTATTAATTCCAAGAAAATTGCTTTCAATTTTTCCTTTTTAATTCTTTGACGTCCAATGTGTATTTCACATGTTTTAATGTTCCGTTGTGTCAGGCGTAAAATTTTATTCGACGTATTGATTTCACAAGTTTAAAAAAAAACGAAACTTTGTCCACCACTATTGACTAGTGAATAATCCTCGTCGGCAACTGTTGTTATGTGGGGCCTTACAAGACACAACACTTAACTCGAAAGAGTCGTGATAGTTGTATTCGACGCTCAGCTAGACAAGTCACTGCAATAGTATTATTTTCTGTTTTCTAGACAATTACCCAGGACTACTTATCATGAATGAATCAGCCCATTCATGATAGTAAGGGGGGTTAACTGGCTCTTGCCACAACAAAAATAAAAAAAAACACGCTGTCTACTCAAACATGTGTATCTATAAAAAATATAATATATATATATATATATATATATATATATATATATATATGCAATTATCTTATGATGTTTTTGTTCTAATCTTTTGCAGACAGAAAGCAAACAAGACCACAAAATCTGTAACTGCCAAAAGCACGTATGAAATTCCGTTGAATGAAAATGATGCAAACGACTTAAATACTTATGAAAACCTAAACTGAAGAGAAGAAGAAGATGGCTACAATTATAATGTAACTCAAATGGTTTTGGAAAAAATGTCCACATCTATTCAATTCAAATATGAAAATCTTTTTATTCAAACTTACAAATTGAGTTGTTTTCAGTCTGAACAATAAATAAATTGGTTTATAAATTTGGTTCATTTCCTTTTTATGAAAAGTTGTGTAAGGAAAAAAAAAAGAATTGTTGTCAAATGAGAAGGCATTTTCTAATTTATCTACTGTTAAAATCATTTCTCCTCAAATTTTTCCTTCTTTCTGTTTTTGCATATATCTGTCTAAGTGTTTCAGTCTGTTTCTAAAAAACATATATTTAATTTTATAATTAATAGATTAGGGTTTTTACTCGTCAACATGTTTTAAACGTGTCATTAAGATTTTTATTAGCATCCTCGGTTTAATTCGTTGTATTTATTCATTTTAATCGCATAAACGAGATTATTATTTTTTTTCTTTTTTTTTTACTCGTTTGCATGTTTTAAACGTTTTATTATGATATATATATATATATATATTTCTTTTAAGCCCTCTTGGGTTAACTCGCTCTAATTGTTTATTTCTATTTTATTCAATTTTTTTTATTTATTCGTCAGCATGTCTTAGATGTTTTATGTAATTTATAAGATCTCTCGGTTTTAACTCGCTGTAATTTATTTATTACTTGTACATATATTATTATTCGTAAAGTTCTAAAACGGTTTTATTTATAAGCACTCTCGGCTTGATTCGCTGTAATCTATTTATTAATTTCAATGGCTGTATTTTCTTATCTCTGTATATAGTAATTATTGCTGGTGAAATGAAACGTGAGGGGAAGTGGGTAAAAACGGAAAACATAATTACCTTCTAAGTATCCGAGGAGGGGGTGTCCATCCAAAAAAAAAAAAAAAAAAAAAAAGTAAAAAATTACCCGTAAACGGCTTAAATTGATTTCGCACCGTTGTGATTAGCTGTTGGTCAATCTCCAATCAAACGTGAGATTACGGGGTATTCTTATAAAAGTCAGCACAAACAAGAATTTTTTTTTAGAGGACGTTTCAGAGTCTAATCAGCTCTGAAGAGGTCGATTTGGTGAGGTCAGTATGATGTTTGAAAGACCCAAAACTGTCCAATGATCCTTTTCTAGAACATCACTGACGACGCCCTCTAGCGCTAAAAGAGCGTATATTCAAAGTATCATGTTAAAATTTCATTTTATTTTTCGCTCTGAGTGAATATCAGTTCTCACTAGTTTCTCAGGGGGAAAGGATGAAGGTAATAAAATAATTACTGAAACCTGCACCTTTCCAGCCTGCGTTCAAAGATCCTTCACCAAGGAATGGAGGGAGATCAAGGGAAGGTGAAGGAAATTCAAAATTGTTTTAATAAACGCGATTTTTTTTTTTTTTTTTTACTAATGGCTACTCTTGCCGATTGAAATCTGGAATCCTTTTGTTGACCGCCAAATTTTTTCGGTCAAGTGAACAAATGGTCAACTTATAAATGTTTAAGGAAAATTCTGACGAGAAAAAAATTGTCTATGACGACACAGTAAACAAACCTTCCTAGCGGCTGACTTAGTAATGGATTGAATAGAGTCTTTCCAATTCATGCCAGCCGAGAATGTTAGCCCGAGAAGGTGCAATAAGTCACTCTCCTCGATGTTAGCATCAGCCATACCGATAGAAGGCAAAAATGCTTCTCTCAAATGCTTAAAAAAGAACTTTTTGTATTGAAGTCATTAAACTGACAAGCCATTTCTTGCCCCAGTTAACAACAGATTGAAGCTCATTGTTGAAAGCTGCCATTATTGCTTTTTTCATCAAATAATCAAACTGACCATTAAGACAGGACTAAATATTTACGGCAGTATTGATCAGTGATTCGACCGGGGTCATATGGACCCTATATCATTACTGGTGGTCGACAAAAAAACACAAAAAAAATTTCCCTTCAGAATAGTTACAACTGGGAATTGGAATCGACGATATATTAATATATTAAAATAACTCTTATATACAGTTTAACCCGGATAAAAGAAGTTGTCGGGACCGGAAGTCTCTTATATCCGGGTTTGGTCTAATTTATATGCATTAACACAGGTTTAATTTGGGACCAGAAAAATTCTCTTATATCCGGGTTTCTCTTATATCGGGTCTCTTATATCCGGGTTAAACTGTTAACGTTTACACCGGAGAAAGGATTAACGGAATACAAGACTTGACATTTGAAAATTATTTTTTCGACTGTCATTGACATCGAAGGAGCCGAAATACAAAAACAAAAAACTTTGCAGAATTTTAAGCATCGAGATCTCATTGAATAAATCAGCACCTTTTTTTAAAATTTATTAATTCTTTCATATTTTTAAAACGGTTTATTATTAGTTATTTTACTTTTATATAAATGTTTATAGAATTTAGTTGTTAAATACAATTTATTTTCATTAAATTATTTACTTCAAAATAAAGCATATACATTTTTACTATTTCTATAATGCACTTTTTAAATTTATATATTAGGAAAAAGTAAAATGCTTTTTATATATATATATATATAATGGTTGTGGAGGTGCATTTAAAACAGTAAAAATCCATGGGTAAAAGTTTGAGAATCACTGGTGTTGAAATACTGAGTTGAGAATTGATGACATTGTTAAAATCGACTGCCAATATTGCCTTTCATCAAATCTATCAAACTTACCATTAAGACAGGACTAAATATTTACGTCATCAGTATTGATCAGTGATTCTCGACCGGGGTCCATATGGACCCTATAGATACATTACTGGTGGTCGACACAAAAAAAATGCAAATTATATTATAATATTTCACTTCGGAATGGTAGTTACAACTAGGAATTGGAATTGCTATAGTAATCTACGATATATTAATATATTAAAATCGAAAAACAACTCTAAAACTGGCAGAAAATGCGATCAAGCGGTAAGTTAGATTCTCTTTCACTCAACAGGATGTTTTGATTGTAAAAGGAGAATAAAAACTGGGAAGGATATATAAAGGAAGGATTTATTTTAATATAGTAACTAAGAAAAGTACTTTTCGATAAAATGTATATACAGTGTAACCCGGATATAAGAGAGTTGTCGGGACCGGAGAAGAAGTCTCTTATATCCGGGTTTGGTCTAATTTATACTTTTGGTCTTTCCTCTTAATAAAATCATAAACATTTTGACGATAAAACATTGTTTTTATTAAGTTTGAGGCCTTTTTCATCATGTTTTGCTGTTTTTTTTTGCAAAAAAGTGGAGGTACCTACTTCTATAGATTGTAGATCTGTTATTAGCCTTGCAAATGAAATAATAACAGACTTATTTTTTTTTTTCCATAAGAAAGTGTATAAAATTGACAGAAACAAAGAGAAACAACTTGACATGATTGCAAATTCAATTGGTAAAAAAGAATTTAAATCATATCGAGAGATACAATTATATACAAAGAATTAGAAAGCGAAAAAACAAAGTGGCAGATCAAAATTTTAAGAAATACCATATTTAAAGAAAACTGAATTCGTATCACTGATATTTATATAAGACAAGTAATTAGGAAGCGATGATTTTGTCTACAATGAAAACAATGAATGTCACTTGAATGTTTACAGGTAAAGGGAGACAACTTTGAATTCCATATTGAGTTAAAGTTTTCTTACGGTTTTTTTCTTCTTCATTTTTTGTTTTTAAAGATTTATCTCTTACTTTTTTTCTTGAAAAGTTTTACATGGCTTCCATGTGTAAGTCATTTGATATTTTAAACTTGATACTAAATTCCTTAAACTTTAATAAGAAGTGGATAATCCTTTCCCTTTTGTCTTCCTCAATGGATTTAAATCAGTCATTATCGGACTCTCTGTAAACGAAATATCAGATTCTTCATATAATAAATCCCTGCAAATGAAAACAAGACCGCTAATCTTCCTTGAGAATATCAAAACAAAATTTCTTATTTTATAATTTCATGACTAATTTTTTCCTTATTAAAATTTAAAGTATACTCCAGATTTCTACTTATTTTAAAAGTGGTCCCAAAGTCAAGAAAGAAAAAAGTTAAGAAACACTAATTTAAACAATCTGCGCAAAATTATAAATTTTAAATTTAATACAATCAACAGCTGTTTTATATTTTTACAAACATTTTACAGGCGATCGAACTGATTTTTTTATATTACTTTTGTTTAGCAGACAATTGTTGGAATAGTAATGAGTCTTTTTAAATTTATGAACTGTAAGTTTGTTAAATCCTTTGTCAACTGATGATTCTTGGTATCATTTTATTACGCAGATTTTTTAAAGTTAGGTCTCCTTTTAACATCAATAAGACAAGTAATTAAAGATGACCGCAGTTTCTTAACTATAAGGCTTATAAAGAAAACACAAGTTATTTGTATAGAGAGAGAATAGGAGAAATAGGAATCAGTGGAAACTATCAAATGATCAAAAAAAAATCACTTGAACACAAATTTAGAGTTGTCTCCCTTACACAAGCAGCGGGAATTTTTTTACTTTTGGAGTTGAAATCTTCAAAACGGAATTTTTATTTAGTCAGATATTTATTTTTAATTCTCTGGCAATCGATTGGTTTAAATCTGTGTTCTTTTAAGTAAATGAGGTAAATATCGTTTTTGCTTATGTGTTTTGTTTTTATCAAAATTGCCCATGTCCTGAAGGGACCCAGCATATAGAAGAAGGTTGAGTTAATCATTACTTTTTTTTAAAAAATGGCCTAAATTTTCTTAAAATCGTTTTACTTTAAATTAAAAGAGGCAAAAATAACTATTAATTTGTACAACTTGTGCTAATGAGTGAAATATATTTTTATAATAATATTCTGTGCTGTGAAATTATAAACCATTTAGTTATTTATTACTAAACTAGTTTACCAATTATATATTGACTTATTTAGACTATTGTCCTTATCTTATTTGGCCAATGAACTCACGAGCCTTCTGGGCTTCATTATAGTCAAAAATTTCAAACTAAACACTT